ACCATTACTGTGACTGATAACACTAGTCATGTTTCTCCTGAACTGCCAAGGCGTCTTTTTCCTGAAGTGTCTCCACTACCAGTGTGCCTCCTGATCTACCTATTGTCCTGTAAAACAGTCACAGGCCATGCCTCTTGATTGATCATCAAGATTAACTGTTAAATGTTTTCACTCCAAAGCTGTTCTTGTAATTGTCTAAGCATTAGCACTCATTGTCTCTTACTGTTGTCTAGACTGTTGTCTAGAGGCACTGCAGGTCTTTAAAATAAGGTCATTATTTTTAGTTCAATTATAATTTACATCACAATCAAGTTTACTTGCGGTGAGGTATTCGAGAATAAAATAATACAAAATCTGTATTTTCCAGAAGACCAGGAAATACCAAAAATGTACATTGCTTATATTATACCAAATATAAAACCAATATAACTTTATAAAAGTTAAAAAACTTTATAAAAACCAACCCAATCCCTGCATCTGGGCAATTTCTTAAAATACTGTTTTTCCTGTGGAGTTTTGTCATGAACAAGTTTGGATCTTTCTTCTTTCTTCAGTATTATTATTGCTGAGTTTCAAGGTAGGAAATCACTCATTCTCCACTCCACCCCTCGTTTATTTCCTGAACTATATTGTCAGGAAACTATATTGTCATTTACCCCTTCTTATCCTTCATTGAAGCTCTATAATGAAGAGTTTTAATTTCCCACAAATTAGCTGTTAAACAAATATCCCAATTTAATTAAAATGCATTTTGTTTTGAAGCTTGCCAGGTGCTGAAAACTCAAGGCAGCCTGTGGATGATCTTGTCTTTTAAAGTTTGTTGATTGTTAAGACTCTGTGTGCTTAAAAAGTCTCTCCCTGTGTTTAAAATAATTCTTTTATCCCTTAAAAGGCTGTTTTTTATACAATTGAAGCATGTCGATTGAACATCAGAAAGAAAAAAACTATTCAATGCATCTTGTTTGTAAGGATATTAATAGTTTATTAACCTGGGAATATCAATGTTATTATCCAGCACACATTGAAGTAGAGTGAAATAATGTGCTCTCTACACTCTTTGTCTAAAGCAGTGGCTCCTATATGCAATCCAAATTAAGTTTTAATTGAGAATTTTTCCTTTCCTTTTTGACCAATAATGCGCATTTTAAGAAATTCAAACACAGTACTTGTTTGAAGCCCTTTTGGTATTTTTCACTGTTCAGAACTAGAGACACTTGATATTTAACTCTTTCTATTATGGACATGTCCTGCAAAAGAGTTACTGCACGCAGTATTCAAAGGGAGTTTCCCTTACTTTTACATTTAACATACGCCCTGGCATCTTGTTGCACTTTCCTCTTTGCTACATTATATATATTTTTTATGTCACACAATGGATATTTAAATGCAAATTATTGCAAATTATTCCTGTCTCCTGCAAGTAATATTGTACAGGTGTCAAACCTGGTTAATGTCAAAATAATTTAATTTCTTTTACTGCTTCTGCACTCTTTTAAGCCCATGTTTTGTTTTGTTTTGTTTTCCATCTTAATTTGTCTGCATAGTGAGACTGTTATGCCCAACACTTAATACATTCAAAAAGTCTTTCAACAGACTTGCAAAAGAATATAATTTTGTCATTCCCTGTGCTATAATTACCTCCCCCCTCCTCCCTAGAGAAAAGATTAAGACCTATGTGGGGACTTACCACAGTTTTCCTTTACCATGACAGAGCTTTTACTTCCTGGAAAGCTCTATCATATGTTAACTGCTATTGGATTTCGTTTAGGTTTAAACAAAAATTGCAGACAACCATTGCTTGTCATATGTGGAATAGTTTTAAAATGGCAGTAATCAGCCTCTGACATAATAGTGGTTCTTGTTGGAGAGAGTGTTTCCTATTTATTTAAACTGAGGACAAAAATGAGGGACATTCCTGCTTCCTATTGACTTGTTGAGTCATTACCATTGAGGAGGGACAGGAGGTCACAAACTGGGTCATTTCTGCCTGAAGAGGGACAGCTGGCACTTCAGCGTTTTGGCATCTGCTGTAGAACCAAGTGCCTAGTAGGACGAAAAAGATAATCCCTGACATGTCTATAGGTACCAATGAAAAAATATTTTATTTTGCATGGTTATACATATTTTAAAATGTATGCTTAAAAAGACCTAATGGGCATGAAGTTTCAGGTACAAATTTGAAATGAGTTAATACTTAAGTGTAATAATTCAGATATTTAAATTGGTAAAATAACTACATAAAGTGTCCTGATGGTATAATTTAATCATACAATTTCAGCAAGTTCAGTCATATTTACTGAATGTTATAAAGTGCGATAATGATTCTTACCATCTACTGTATATGGTTATAAAAGTTGAGAGCCCATTTAAACTAAGCCATCCATTTAAACCAAGTCTCCTCTGAAGGCAAACAGAAGTTCTGCTAAGAGGTGCATCTGTGATGACTAAAAATTAAAGAGGGATGACATTCAATTGATCAGGGTCACACTTTGTGAACTGAGAGAGAAATTCTCTTGCACCCTTATCTGCAGTACAACCCTTTTTTTCTAAGAGGGTGGAGAAGGCATTGCTCTTGAGTGAAAAGCACTGAAAGGCATTGAGTCACTCTTTCAAGGATTGTGAAACCGGCACCAGCTATTGTCATGTTCCAATCAGGCTGATCAAGGGCTTGTTCTGTTGATAGGCCTATGGCTGAATAAACTTTAACACCTGTCTTTACACTTTTGTAAGGTTTTGCATCCTTATTTTCTTTTTTTTGGTAAGGTTTTGTCTCCCTTCTTTCAATCTAAAAGGCCAAAAGTCCACAACTTACTTCTGGATTCTGTTCTCATATAAAATGTCCCATAGCCTTTCCAAGTACACATGAAATGGAACAGGAACAGGCCTAACTGAACCTTTTGAATGTGATAAAACTCATCAAAGACACTGTATTCTTTTACCTATTTTCGTTCTTCAAAAAATAACTTTTGATATTCTGCAATAAACACATTTATGTTTATAGTACCAAAAACGTACGTACAATAGAACATGGATTTTCAAGACCAAATTCTTTTTAGATATTCTACTTATTTTAGCTGAAAACTGTTTTGTATATCGAACATCTTTCTTGGCTACAGGTTTGACAGATTCATTAGATTTTGTTTGCATGCTTTGTATAGTGATTTCTCCCTTCCCAGTACACTTTTCCTGATAGGTAAGCTATAGGTAGATCTATAGATATAGTAGATCTATAGGAGGTGATTTTAATGCTTATACAGTACGTCTGTTAATTAAAGACAGATAAAGCTCTAGCAAAAAGTCTTGTACTTGCACAGCTAGGGTGACGTGAAAGAATTGTTTATAGCTGGGAGATTTGCTAAATAATGGAAATCTTGCTTGTAGGTGATAGACACATTAACGTAACAATATGGAAGGAACCTGAAGCTGGTTATTCTTTTTCAGAGGATGTGCCTTACATCATCTTAACTGGGACGATGTGGTCCTTCTTCTCCACTTCCTGGCTTGGCCAGGGTTTGTGTTTCCATGGCCTCATTCCACAGGCTTCCACAGGCTTCACTGCCTAAAGGATTCAGCAACCTAGAAACAAGCAGCAGCAGAAGGTTAGGTACAGCAAAGGGTTTGAATTGCTTAATCAGGCTGTTGTGAACAACCTTCCACAGCCATTCCTAGGGCAGGCTGGAATTGCCCAGCAGGTTAAGCTTTTCTGTTTTAACTGGAAAGAACAGAAATCAACCCGTGGAGGGGATGTGCGTACATGAACTCATGAGCATAGCCACGGACGTATGCCACCCACACGTTTGAAATTCAAGTCCAAGTTTGTAGTGCAAAGACTATAGGTTACATTTGTCATTGGATCCTATTTATTTAATCTTTCAAACCCCTGAAAACATTTTCTTTGCATTAAATTCAATGACAGTTGGGTATCAGGCTCACTCACTCATTGACAGGCTAAGTACAGTATAATACTATGAACTAATTTAAAAGCTTTACCTTACCCTACTTACTTTTTATAAGTTTGACTTGTAATATAAGTTTGAAACACCTGTATTACAAGTTTTGATCATTTCATGTATGCAACATGAAAAAACAGTTTCCTGTCTAGCTAAGGAAAAGACAGTTGTGAATGGATTTACACTCCAGGGCTCAAATATGCAATCTTACATTTTTTATTGATTTATTGGGGATTGATCCAGATTATCTGAACCATTACAATGGTGATGACCTTCTGTTTCTGTTAATTAGTTACATTATTTTAGTTTGGTTAAACCTTTTGTCAGAGGCTCAAATGCAGTATGTAAATGAAACCCCTGGTATATCCTGATGGTTAGAAACAAGCTTTTTCCAAAGAAGCTGAAGGACTATTTGGCCTTAAGATAAAGATATTAATGTTATTTTGTTATGTTACCACTAATGTGCCCTGCTTAATTAAGAAACAGAATTGGTTTCGTAGTTTGATAAAGTTGTTTCAAGTAATGTATAGATGACAAATTTGGAGAGATTGTTGTGACATTGTGTGTGATCAGGCATCTACCTTAATGGCTCAATTTATCATCAAATGTTAAAAAGGAAAAATAACAAAAGTGAAAAGTATATTTATATATCTTATAGTATTGCTTTTCACACTTTTGGTTATGAGAGTATTTCTCTTATGCAGAGAATTTTCTGGTATAAAAATGGTATCTTCTTTCCTATTAATAATGAGCTATAAGTTTCATGCTTAATTATAGGAATTAAAGGAACATAGAAGTGTTGTACTCATTGCAGTCCGGTTTGGTTAGCTTTTTTCCTTACTTCTTACCAGAGACGTGAACAAAAGTAAATTATAATTCCTGTTGCAACACCTCCTGACAGAACATTTCTCTGGCCTCAACCCAAATGCAAATCCTTCAGCATGAGAGCTCTGCTCCTGCCGACTGAGGGAAGGAGGAGAGTGGTGTGTCAGGAAGATCAGGGAGGGAGGGGATGAATCTCCTGAGGGGACGGGGTGTCTCCTGAGATCTCTCGGCACAAACTCACAACTCTTCCTCAAGCCCTACTCTGCAGTTCAGCATAGATCACCAGCAAAGTATGGAACTACGGAAGGTGCCAGTGCACATTGATAGGAGAGCACTATTAGGACCGCATCAAGGATAAAGTTTAACAAAGCCTGTGAGGAACCCCAGCTAGGAAGGTAGGTTCTTGTGTTTTTTAATTTGTTATGTTCTTTTTCCAGTTCCTAGTGACCCAAATATTCAGTACAATTTTTGACTGTATTGCATTATTGTAGCCGTTGCAGGTTTTCAAGGACAGCTTTCTGTAACTTGGTGTAAATGCTTTGCATTCTGTGCTTCCTTGCTGTTAGATTCCATCTTTTTTTATTGTGGTCTGAAGTTTGCAAATGCTCTTTTACTGATATCCTAGAATTAATGTGAGGTTTGAAACAGCTCCATTTTAAACAAGGATGAAGCTATGTTTCTTCACTTTATAACACTTTACAACCATGTTTTGACAATCAAATTGTGAGTGTACCTTTTGAAACATAAAGCTCTCTGTTGAGTTAATCAGGAAAAAACAAATGATCTAGAAAAGTTTCAGACATAAATGGACAGTTTCAAAAATCATGGCAAAAGTTCAGGAAGCCTGTTAGTTTTTTGACTCTGGATGTCTGAGAACATGCAGCTCTGGACTTTGTGGAACCCTTATGATTTCTGATTAATCTGAATCCCCCGAGTAAAAATCTGTTTAATTTAAACCTGAAAGTTTGTTTTCAGATTTATTTTTTAAACAGAGTTATGACCTCTTTTTTCTTTCTCATAAGCCTCTTACTTTTTTCAGTAAATCAAATTAAAAAAGAAAGCGAAATGCAGAACTTATCTATGTGACAGAAAATCAATAAAAAGGAGTAAGTAACTGTTTAACACCCAAACATTTGAATAACTTAGTGCTTAAGGTGATTAAGTTTAAGTGAAATTTAAATAATTTTATTTCTGGTGATATAAATACAATTTTACAGTGGACAATGATTTTACTTGATTTTTAATTTTAATTGGATTTTACTTAACCTAGAATGTTCTGTTTAGAGCAGCTGTTTTCAGAGGTCCACCTTTATTTGAGGAAATCCTCCCATTAACCGTGTGTATTTTCTTTACAGCAGAAGCTTATGTATTTTAAGAGATGAAAGGAAAGTTTTAGACTTTCTTACTACTCAGTAGTAAGAGTAGTGATTGACATATTGTCTTAGGTTAGGGTATAATTGCATGGAATCATTTACAGATAACTTTTAGATCTCGAGCAATATATAGTAAGTGGTTTGAATTTCTGATTAGATATAGGAATTCATTTCTTTCATGTTATCTATTGCTAAGTTTTGAGTTAAAAAAATGACATTCCCAGCACAGAAGTAATACTTTTTCTCAATGACTCATTTTTTAAAAATCAATAGCATGGGTGGTGCATTATCTTATGACGGTTCATATTATATATTAAATATATTTTATGTGTTAAATATGAGGGTTCATGGGTTTCCTAATTGTCTGCATATCCACAGGCAATTAGTTTGCGTCCTCAATGAAATAGTTATTTGAACATTGCATGTAGAATTCAGGTCTTTGACCATGCAAGTCGTGTTTGCAACTCTTTCCAGCTATTGTCTTAATTTGTACCTGCCGCCACAGTGTGTGGAAAGAAAAAGCTTTCTAATTGTTGATCAGTCTCTTGCAACAGCCGGGCTGCATATTATCAGCTGAGACCACGTGTAACTCATACTGTAAAAAAATTCGAACCGTATTTAAGTAGAGCGTTTTTCCACCATGCCTTTCTGACTCAGTAGAAGCTAATGACTACATTATTTATTACCTTTATTGTTCCCTATTTTTGTCTGAGCATCCAACATTAAAGCACTTTGATGTCTGTAATTGCAAGGTGCTGCTGTAATATTTAGCGGCCATAGATCGGCCAAAGAAGCATGTACTGTAGGTTGTTATTCCACATTATTAAACAGGTAAGCACCATTATTGCCACACATGAATCCTGTGACTAAGACCTTAGTCCACATGGTTAATAGGATACTGGCGTTCATTCTGGTTGTGGACCTGGTACTATGGTGATACGGAGAGTTGTCATATATATGAAGCTAATTGAAAAGTTAAAAATAGACAAATTGGCATTTGTATTAACAAAGTGAACTGAGGGTCTTGTTGAACTGAAAATGTTCAGAAACATTAACTGAATGGGCTTGATGAGACAAAAAGATTATTACGAACCACTGATCTGAGTGGGTTGTGATAATCCTTTAGTATGTCTTGCAGTAAATCTTTTACAGTTAGGTTCCATTTGATGTCATGGCTTGATTATCCACGCTTTATGACAAAATAGATTTATTAAAATAACTTTCTTTAATAGTTATTGTTTTCTTTAATAGTTATTGTTTTCTTTAATAGTTATTTTTGATTTGTTACCTTTTTGAATCTCTTTACAAATCAGGAGCTTATAGCTTTAGCTTATACTTATCTGTCAGTGGCCAGTTCAAAAACACTTTACAACAATTTTGTGCTTGTTTTATTTTTCATTGTATATACATTGTTATCACTCTTTGCAAACTGAAACAAAACAGGAAATGAATCTTTCTGATCTATCAAAAGGTGTGATTTAATGTTTACAAGCTAGAACCCAGTTCATAGCTGTAGACATGTTGTAACCCTACAAGTGGTTTTTTAAGACATATGCAAATATATGGGTGGGTTTCTATAATTAATTAACACATAATAGTTTTCATTTGCTGTCAGTTAAAAAAGAAAACAGCATTCTGAGGTGTTAGTGATTCTTGGTGTTAGCATCTTTTAAAAAATGGCTACACAGAGTAAACCCCAATATTAAAAAATAAATTCCTGTTTGTTGTGTGTTCATGCAGCTGCTCAAAATATTTCCATTCATCTGGAAATAGTCCGAATTTGCAGTTCTAGTCCTGCTGTAAATAAAAAGCCACTGTGAATGGAAGTCTCTTGTTGTTCGTGCAGATTGCGGAGTGTGTGAATTTCAGATGTTGCTTAAAACAAACAGTACATGGAGTCTTTTCAGACCTCCCCCCAACCTAAGGAACAAGTCTTCAAAAAAGATGAGAGGTGATTCTGTAACTTGATCTGAGGTGGCGTCGCAGGTCCTTGGCTGAACATGTGCCTGCAGGTCTGAGCCACTGCAGATTTTGTGGGAAGAGGAAGCCGCAATGTGTCATTGAAAGACCTTAGGCTTAGAAATCTTACAGAAGCACTAGGAGTTTTCAACGGGTGGTTTAGGTAAGTGTATCTCAGTATTTCAATGTGATCCATCAAAAATGGAAAAATGAAAATATTACAAGTGATGTAAAGTGTGCTTTTCATCATTTGGCTAAAGGAATATAAACTCAAATAAAAAGGTGGCATTTTTTAATTTTCTACGGTCTGTTTAAATCTTATTTTTTTCCACTGAAATGTTTCATGAAAAAACATCAATGCTTTAAGCTAAAAGTGATGAGTTTCATACATTTAAATATGAGTTAAGCTTGACGCACCAAAAAAAAAAAGCCAACAAGCACAAAATGCTTGTATGTGGAGGATGTCAGCCCTAGAATCGTATAGTGAATGGGGGTTCAGCTCACTTACCCGTTCTTAAAACACTTTATTTTAATCTGCTATGATCAAAAGGTAAAGAACAATCGTGAAATTACGGTAAAGCTTGGTGATCCATGGATTGGTATTTTCAAAAACTTATGGCAAACCAAAATAAGTACCTTGGACACTCATGGGAAAACTGAAAATACTGTGCAAATGGACAACGGGGTTGTGAGAGTTAAGGAACAAATGAGTCTGAAACAAGCTACTCAGCCATGCCAAAATCCTTAGATTGATTAGCTACTAAAAACCTGGGAGCTGAATGGCCTCTACTCTTCTGCTAACTTAATTTTGCTTTTAGATTTTCTTGCAGTGAACTTTCTTTTAAGTCATAGAATTATACTATTAATATAGTGACAGAGACAGTTCAGTCCTAGCAAATATTTTCAGTTCATACTTGTATGGAGCATAAACATAACATGCATAATTTATACCTTACTTTATAACCTTTTACTTTAAATAACTAGGAGTGTGTAAATTTGTTTGTAGAAGTCAAATTCTAGACTGTGTCACAATTTTTCCAGTGTCACAGACCCAAAGTAGAGTCTCACATTGATACATTATCAGCAGAGGGGAATTTGCTAATGGAAAGGCAGGTTTACCTGTCACGTTCTGTTGACTTTTGAAAACAGGGGTTTCCAAAGCCTTTGTCAAGTGCTAAGTGAACATGCTCCGTGGTTGAAAAGGTCTTGCTTTACACTGATTAATCCAACTACTGAAAGCATTCACTTTGGAGTGTCACGTGTAAGTGGTAAAAAAACAGTCTGGGGTGCAACTTACTAAGACATGTTAACATCAGCTGTCAAATATATTCATTCATGAAACAGAAATTGAAATTCAGTTTTCAGTTGTCAGAAAGATTGTATTTATTCTTCCCCTATCAAAATGGCCACTACTACTAATAATGTCTAAAACATATAGTTAACAAGATTAAGAGTAAAACATGCTTCAAAGACAAAGTGATCTCAAAAAACATTTTTGTCTTTCTCCATTATTTTCTTGAATGACCACTATTTGAGTTACCAGTATTCTTGACACTGCCCTGGTAAACAAATCAGTAAGAACCTGCAACAGATATAGAGTCCTGTTGGACACTGAATCATTGTTGTCTCTGTTTGCTGAAAGTGCAGTCAGAAACACCAGGTCCTCGGGTAGTTATCGGGGACTGGGCGTAAGTCGTATGCAATGCCTTCTTGTAGGCATTTAACCAGAAACTGTGATTCACTTTCCTTTAATTTGCACCTGCTCTGCATACTGTATGTCCTTGCTGTATGATTCAAGCTGGGGACTTTTTACAAGATGGGCTATTTTCTGCATTTCTGCAGTTATGCATTTTATTAACTAGATAATTTTAAGTTAATACTCTTTAAAACTTACATCTGAGATATTTTTTTTTTTCTGGTGCATGCATCCAGGAATGCACTGATTAATTATTGCTGGGATTTTTGGCATTTGTCCCTCATCGCAGGAATTTATTTCAGTTCTGTTTGCTAAATTATCTCTTTGAACAGTTTGAAGGGCGGTGAGATCAGCAATGTACCGCTAACTGAAATGCCCTCAAGCAAAAGTTAAAAATGTTTAAAAATATGCACTTAAAATGGTTAATGTTAAATGTTTTCAGCAGTTTCCTAGGCAGTCAGTGGCATCATTCAGAGCCTGACAAAACTCATTTATGTTCTTATAATTTATCAAAAATAAGTGTAGGTACTAAGAAAATTAAAAGTACATGTATTTTATGTTTTCCTAGTTCTCTTTCTAAGGATTGTTTACATTATATTCCTTTTTTTAGATGAGTCACCCAGGTAACTGTTGTTCATTTTGTATTGCAGCTACCACTAGCTTACACAAAGTAGCACTGATACAAAGGTGATCACATGGAAAGGTTCTTGGAATAGCAAATGCCAGGAACTCTCATCCTCTCAAGGTGTTTCTATGATGAAATCCTTTTCAAGATTGTTCTATTGTATATTAAAGAAGAAATGTGTCTTTCATATGCAGGATGGGATGGGGTATTTGTACTGGCAGACATATCTGTATTTCTAAACCTTTAACTGTGCTACATACATACACGTTACATACATATATGTATATGTATATATGATTAAACAAATAATAAAAGTATATGCTGTAAAAATTGCTGATTTATTATAATATATTATAGCTATAGGACCTTATTTTCTCGGGGGAAGCTACCCACTCTATACTCATAATTTGTCTATCAGTCATAAAGTTCCAGCACCAATATTTTATCTTTATTTCAAAAGAAACTGCACTATAAACACAATCTAATCATAAAGAATACAAATTAAGTAGTTCCTCCTGTTTAAAAGAATACATTATTTATGTTATATTCCTAATCTTCTTTTATTATCTAAAATGAGTAAAAGCTTAGAAACAATAAACAGTAATCTGTGGTTATACATAAAACAAAACACGGAACAAAAGAAGCTGTGTGAATGCGCAACACCTGTGTATCTGTAGTTTGAGGCCTATACAAAGGCTTTTCTTCAAATATGTATTAATTGTCTTTGAATGGACATGTTAGTACAAGAGGCAAAATACCTTTACCACGGATCTATGATATACCTGCCCTGGGTAGGTTGTGTTCTTCAGTTTCTGGGGTTAAGGTTATTAAAACAATGAACTATACACAGAATATGTCCCCATTACTAAAGGAATAGAGAAAAAAAAGTTAAAGTTCTATGACATGGGTATAATGTTTCTGGAGCACAAGTGTGATGTGTATTTTAAAAACATCAAGACTGGCACTGACTTGCAGGAGGGGTTAAAGGAAAAGCAGCTCATATTTTTCAGGCATTTAATTGATGCTGATCCTGTTGAGTACTTTATGTGTTATTCCTTGTAGTTTTTTAAGTCAAATAAAAGGTTTTGCTTGGCTCAGGTGAGTCCAAAGAAGATGAACAGGATGTATTTGTGTACAACTGTTTCCTCATGGTTTTAAAGCATTGTGCAACTCTCTTTTAAATCTCCAAAAGACAGACTTATCAGTAAAGAAGAAATCTTCGACAACAAGTAAGTTGGCAAGGAAAAAAATAAACCATAATATGAAATCATAATATGCTTTGTCTGTAAGCTTAAGTGACTTCTGCAACTTTAAAGGTCATTTCTGAGCTGTAGTGAATGCAAGTGATGAGGTGATCTTTGAGAGAGCTTGATTGCATGGTGCTTGTACATGACTTTAAACCTTGTCATGTCTCATCACGTTCCAAGATTAAACTGTTTCGGGGTCCTAAGGAACCCATATAGGGTTAAAGCCCAAGTTTGGCCTCTGGGTGTAGCAAGGTTCACTGTTGGATTAGGACAACTGTGTGAGTCAGGGTTGGGAGAGTTTAAAAATTCCTGCTGGTGATGAGTTGCACATGCCACAGACTCATCCATTATGGATGGAAACGTCTTTTTTTTGTTCTTATTAATATTCTGCCTTATTAAGGATACAGGTTCATCTTTTTAAAGAAAAGCAAGGTAATGGCATTACACAGGCTGTTTAAGGTTCATTGGACAGATTCCTTATAAATGAATGCTTTTTTACTCAAACAAAAAAATATCAGTAGGATCAGTATTGTCATATACTGTAGATATTGACTGCATAAAGCTTGTTTTCTTTTTTTTTTGCAGAGCTGAAGATCCATGAAGAGCCACTGAAGATGGGTTTCATGACAGCAGGCAAATTGCTTGCTGTCCTAGCAGTTGTACAGATACCACACTGTTTTGGGAGTCTAGAAAAAGGCCATACACCTTTTCGTTTTACTCACCATCTTTATAATGCTACAATCTGTGAGAACTCCGTTCCAAAGACCTATGTTATTAGTAATGTTAAAATGGGAATTATTGTTACAGACCCCTTCTGGAAAATAAAATATAAACTTGTCTCTGGAGATGAGGATGGCCTTTTCAAAACTGAGGAATATACAGTGGGTGACTTTTGTTTCTTGAGGATACGGACTCGTAGCAGTAATGCTGCATTACTTAACAGAGAAGTGAGAGACAGCTACACATTGACCATTCAGAGCACTGAGAGTATGTATGAATATGAGGCCAGGACTAAGGTAGTGATCCATGTCCTAGATGCTAATGACCTGAAGCCCCTTTTTTACCCAGCCTCATACAATGTTACAGTTAAAGAGGACACCCCTTTAAGATCCAGCGTGCTCAAGGTTAGTGCGACTGATGCTGATTTGGGCAGTAACGGAGAATTCTATTACTCCTTCACGAGTCGGTCTTCGCCCTTTGCGATTGATCCTTCCACAGGAACAATCACCTTGGCTAAGAAGCTGCAGTACAACCACACACCAAAGTATGAGCTGAGAGTTCTAGCTGAAGACCGAACAAAGAAGATTGCTGGAGTCAGGAAGTTTGGGAATGACGCAAAGGTCGTCATCAACGTGAAAAAGGTTAATCCCGAGCCCCCTGTAATTAAATCAGTAACAATTTCAACACCAGACGGAGATGACGAAGAAACTTATGCAGCTGTTGAGGTGGGGAGCACCGTAAAAGAGGTGGAATCTTTGACCATTGTGAAAGGAGACCCACAGCATTACTTCCAAATCATTCCCTCTCATTCAGGATCCCGGGACTTCCAGGTAGTAGCCACAAAAAAGCTGAACTGGCTAAACTACCCCCTTGGTTTCAATCTCTCCATCCAGGCCAAAGACAAACATAACCCACCTTTGCTTTCTGAGATTAAGGCTGTTCACATTCCCTTTCCAAGGCCTGCTCCCTTGAAATTCGAGAAGAAAATCTACAGTGTGACGCTGAGCGAGTTTTCACCACCAAACACTCCTGTCATCCGAGTTGTGGTGAACCCAAGCCCATTGAATGTCACCTACCATATAAAAAAGACCCCAGATAGCACTAAATTTAGAATCAACGCCAAGAGTGGCCTGATTGTAATCACTGAACAACTGGACTATGAGAAGGAGTCTCATTATGAATTTGATGTGATGGCAAATCACGGTGAGGCAGAAGCAAAGGTCACTGTTGATATCATTGATGAAAACGATAACGCTCCAAAATTTGCCAGGCCCTCTTATCAAGGCACAGTCCTTGAACACGTACCCATTGGGAATAGCATCTTAACAGTGACCGCTGTTGATGGCGATACCCAGAAAAATGGCTTTATAACATATGCCATTGCCAATAAGGGTCCACTTCCTTTTACAATTGACCCATTCACAGGTGTCATTTCCACCTCTGAAGAACTTGATTATGAACTCATGCAAAGGTGGTATCATCTTAGGGTGTGGGCATCAGACAGTGGCGCTCCATACAGTCATGTGACCGAATGTGCTGTTACGCTCATCATGAGCAATATCAATGATAACATACCAGAGTTTGAAAAGGTGGGATGCAATGCAACTATCCCTCAAGACCTTGCCGTTGGAGAAATCATTGGTGTCATGTCTGCAATTGATCTGGATGAGCTGCAGCAAGTGAGGTATAAGATGGAGTCTGGCAATGAACTGGGACTTTTTGAAATCAGTCCAGTATCTGGAAAGATTTTGCTGAAGAAAAGGATTCCTGTAATTTCATCTGCTGGTCGGTTGCCTTCATATAGTCTAACTATAACTGCAACTGATGGAGAGAATTATGCTGTCCCAACCACTGTTAATGTTGTTGTGAAAGACAAAGGTATACAAAGCAGTATGAAGTGTGAGGACACTGGAGTTTTCAAAAAGTTGACCGAAAAACTGATTCAATCAATCAAACCAGAAACTTCCATTCAAGAAGCAGACTCTTTTTCTGACATTCACATCATTAATCGTCATTCTCCTAAATTTGATGGGAGTCTTCCAAGTTCTATTGATGTTAGAGAAGACATGCCGGTTAATTCAACAATCCTTCAGTTTAAAGCAGCTGATGAAGACACGGGTTTTAATGGCAAGTTAGTGTATGTCATCTCTGATGGGAATGAAGATGGATGCTTTACTATTGACATGGAATCCGGAGAAGTGAAGTTGCTTTCTCCATTAGACAGAGAAACTACAGGATTCTACATTCTTAATATAACTGTCTATGACTTAGGGATTTCCCAAAGGTCTTCCTGGAAGTTCTTAGCAGTTAATGTTTTAGATGTTAATGACAACCCACCACGATTTGAGCAATCAAAGTATATTTTAACCATACCTGAAAATACAGGAATTGAAAAGAGCATCTTGCAAGTTAAAGCAGTAGATGTCGACTTGGAAGTTAACGGGAAGATCAAATATTCCCTCATAACTGAGACAGATAAATTTGCAATCAACGACTACACAGGTGTTGTGAGGGTGAATAAGCCTTTGGACAGGGAAGTATCTCCAAGATATGAACTCAAAATTGAAGCCAGAGATCAGGCCACTGTAGACCCCACTTTGTTTTCGATAGCCGAGATTGTGGTGATTTTAGAAGATGTTAATGATAACCCTCCCACATTTGTTCCAAAGTTTTACAAAGTACAGGTACCGGAGGATGTACCCATTGGAACAATAATATTATGGGTTGAAATATATGATCCAGATCTTGGCTCAGGAGGACAGGTTAGCTATAACCTGATGGACAATGAGAATGGAGCATTTTACTTAGAAGCCTCAATAGGATCACTGAGTTTGGAGAAAGAAATGGACTTTGAGCAGCGGCAGTTTTACAATCTTACCATTCGGGCTGTGGATCACGGACAACCACGGTCCCTCTCCTCCTCCTGTTTTGTTGAGGTGGAGGTTTTGGATGTGAATGAAAACTTGAATGCTCCACTTTTTTCATCGTTTGTCTACAAGGCAGAGGTGGTAGAGGATACTCCTGTGGGCACATCTATTATGTCTCTGACAGCTGTGGACAAGGATCGTGGAAGAGATGGAGTAGTGAGATACTATATCAGGGAAGGAAGTGGCCTTGGAGTCTTCAGTATTGATGAAGACACAGGTAAGCCAATAAAACATGCACTAAAAAGAAATGGACAGTGCAGCTGATAACATCACAGGAAAAGTACATCGATGATGATCCACTAAAAAGAGTGCAATCAAATCAAGTCAAAGGTCACAGGTTTGAAACTAGCCTAGAGATACACATTCCGTGAATTCAGCATCCAGCATGCTGTAATACAAGACATGCCTAATTGCTATGTGGTGGGTAAATGGCTCAGAGCAATATCTTCACCAGGATAATTTTATTTGTTTTAGATTTTAGAAGTTTTTCTTTATATTTCTTAGATATGCTTAATCCATTATTTTCACAAACATCTGAAATGTTTGAAGGAACTTTCAATTTGAAAGAATTTAACTTAAAAATCATTTAACAGGGTCTGTTTTGCATATTCATTGTAAATGCATTGTTTTTAACATTTACACCACGGTATTTTATAAAGTTGATAGCAATACGTTTTTAAATCTATAATATGGTATCTTATTCATCTTAGAAATTCCAAGCACTCCTTTTGGCTTTTACTCTTTTCTCTTTTTGTCCCACAATAATTAATCACGTTATCAATGTCTGAAGCTTAAATCGCCCTTTTGACCATTAGACCTTTACAAATAATTGATGAATTGTATAAGTACATGATATGTTCATATAGCTGAATCAAATCAGAAGTCATGTATGTTTTTATTTTTGTGTCCTTTCTTTATAAATAGTCTGAATTATAATTGACCCATTCAATTGTATTATCTTTTTAGTCTATTTGAAATAGACTAAAAAATGCCCAAGTCTTGAGTGTATTACTTTACCCCTTATCTAGCAATGTTCATTGCTTAGGTAAGATTTGAAATTGCTTCAAAATAAATGTAAATAAAATAAACTAAATAAGCAACATCAAAGAACTACACTATGGTAGACCTAAATGTTTTTTTTAATTATTATTTTTTATTATTTACAGGCATAATAAGAACTGCAGATATCTTGGACAGGGAATCTACCCCTCACTATTGGCTTACAGTTTATGCGACAGACTTGGGAGCTGTCCCTCTGGTTTCATGGACTGAGGTTTTCATTGAAGTGATGGATATTAACGACAACCCTCCTGAGTTTTCCCAGCCTGTTTACTTTGGTTCTGTCCTGGAGAATTCCCCCCAGGACAAATTCATTCTTCGGGTGGAGGCCAGCGATGCTGACATTGCCTCTGAAGGAAAACTCACCTTCCAGATCCTTGACACACAGCGAACATATTTCACAATCGGCTCCAAGACAGGTAAATTTGTCCCTCAACAGAAGATTGAAAAATAAACCCCAAAACAATCCCCCTAACTGAAAGGTGATCGGAATGCTACTCATCACTGACAGTTTAGATGAAAGGAAATCATTATTTTGTTTCCTTTAACAAAATCATCTCAGCATTATTTCAATACATAGTTTGATTAAACGAAATGTATTTTCCTTGATTATTCTGAATTGCAGGATCCTGATGTAGGTACTTTAGGTGTCTGTATGTAGAGTTGACTTCCTTCTCACTATATGGCTGTATATCCAAGGCATTTCAGCAGAAGTTACTGTTATACTCTTATTCTTGTGGCCAAGCCTTTGGCCCGAAATTGCTGTTTCTTTGCAAACTGTAATCTGGCTTCTGACTAACTTTTTTCATGGAGTGGACAGCTTGTCCAAAATATCAGTTGTTTCGTTTTTCTGTAATCTTGCAAAGAATTATGGAGTCCCAAGGGTGTGCTGAGTGGGTCTGCACACACACAAATACTTTGAAAGGGTTTCCCCCTCATGGTTTCACACAACGTGTCCTCTAGAGTGACTCATTTCAGGGGAAAAAAAGTGGTGAGAAGATCAGTTCTTTTGAAGCTTTGGCAAGTGTGTATGAGGTAACTGAAGTCAGGACTGATCCATCTAAAGTACATGACCATTTATGAGTTCTAAGCACCACCTGCATTTGAGCTTAGTGACGGCTGCTCAGCCTGGCCTTTAACTACCAGCAAATTAGAACAGCATTAACCTGTATCACAAGCCTCTACTTGTTTCTCCCAAACTCCTAATCTTCGGGTTACTCAAACAGCCCCACCCTGCATGCTGACACTGAAGGAGTGTGCAGAGAAAAGAGCACTATCACATGGAGAAGACTGTCTGCAATAGCAGCAAGCCATTAAACAACTGCACTTTAGAGAAATATTATATCATTCAAAAAGGTCTATTCAGCTGTTATTGAAATCATTGAGACAAATATTCATATAGTTAATTAATTGATCTTTACAGTTTTTACAGTTTTTTTATGTTAGATAAGTCACTATTGTAAACATTGCTAATTCTATCTAATTACAGCCTGCAACATTTATGAAAGGTTGTGTAGCCAAGCTGCAATATTGAGATCATTATATTTCTTTTGTATTACATGGGCTGGATTTAAAGTAAAGATCATGGAGTACTTAACAGTATTCCCTGTTATTTAAAAAAGTTAGTGTTGCAATAAGCTTCAAGGGTAATCTTGCATGGTCAGCTATAGACAAAGATTTTTCACTTATGCTAGTTGTTTAAGTTAAGCCAAGTAATTGAGGAGGTGAGGATTTGTGGTTTTAGAATTGAGTATTGTAGTTGAGACACTTGGCTTTTTGTGCATTTTCCCAAATTTTGAATGGGATTAGTGCTCAACTTTACTATTATATCTGTGTCCATCAAAGAAAAGTCAAGACAAGTTAAAAAATCTTACAGTAATGTAAAAAAGAAATTCACCTATAAAAAGAAGTCTTGGATATCATATTCCTAAGAAGTTGTTGAACAAGTATGAGAAATGTTTGTGTGACAAAAAAGAATATGCTCTGAGGAAACAATGCAGTGTTGGCATAAGTTTCATTATTTGGTGTCATTCTGTCCTTTAAGATCCCTGTTTAGCTGGTAAATGAGGTTGGTTTCTCTCCATGTCAGAGCAAGAGAGAAAATGACTCATCCTACTGGGAAAGGAACAAAATTCTGTCTAAACGGTGTGTTTCAAAGTACATCTAATGTGGCCAAAATAGTGGACAATTATACATTTAATTTAATTTAGATAAAACTTCTAAAATCCAAATTATATTTTTAGTAATAAACTTAATTCTACAAACAAACGATAAAATAGATTTCTTGAAGTCATTATATCGTACCACATAGTAAGGCATAGCTGTGCAAACTAGAGAATCTATAATAACTACAAATACAATTATAGTATCTGTAAAGACATTTAAAAATTCTACAGAATATCCCATTTTCCAACATCAGGACTGATTTAATCAATCATGTTTTCATTAAACAATTCTTTAATTAAATAATTGAAATAAGGTAAATGCATTTTCTCAATTAAGGTCAACATTATTTCTATAACATCCATGTGATATGAACAGAATTTATGCAAGAATTTGAATTTTGCTTTTATATAATAAGAATTAAAACGTTTAATCATTTATGAAGTGAAAGTCATTACAATGGTCTTGAAATACTAAAATTTGTGTTTTCAAAACATTTGCAAATCTGTTAATAGAATGTAGACATTTTATTCAAAACACTCGAATGAAGGTCGGTGGATTTATTTCCAGTTGTTTGTGTTTCTAAGCCATTATTGAACATGCTGGCACTACAAGGAAGCCAAGTTTTTTTTTAATTTTAAGAATTTTACTCTACTTTCAAAAATCAAAGACAGAGTCCAACAGATAATGAAATGGCATTAAAATTCAGAAAACCTTCTGTAGCCTCTTATAATCTCCCATGTTACTTTACTCTAAAACTGCATCTGAGTGGCATGCCATGGGGAAATCAATTTCAGGTAGAATCTTGACAGATACTGTACTTGTTAGTTCTAGTTTTCACAGGATAATCCCAGCCCCAGGAGCAGAGAATGAAATATTTCTGCTGTTGGGTTGCAGCACTTAGGAGAATTTGAAAATCTCTAAAAATGCCCTATATTTTTCCATCCATATATATGGAGGAAAGATCAAAACAAGCCAAAACTACAGTTCCAGGCACCTTGAATTCTTTTAAAGATAAAACACACTTTCTAATCTTAGTGAACAAGAGCACCTGCTTTTAGTTAAATTGGAGTCATAAATACTTGGGAGAGTTTGTTTTGATTGTTTTAAAGTCTAAATAATCCTGTTATATAGTTCCCATATTATTCTGTGCAATTATGCCTGAAAGAGTTTATTGCGTCACAAGTAAAATAAGCTGTCACACTTTCCTCTTTCAGCTTCCTTCAGCATAAACACGACTGTTTGCGATATAAAGCATCACAGATCTTGCTCAAAAAGATTAAAATATAGCATCTAAACAAGAAAAGGCTGCTATTTAATTTGTCAAAAATACAAGTCTTGCAAATGTGTCAGCAGGGGCTTAACTTATGCTTGCAGTACATTAGTTGGCTTTGATACTAGATCTGTCTTCTGACTCATGTCAAATTCACTTGCAAAGAATTGGATAACAATAAGTCTGGATCAAACATCTAAAAGCTAAGGGATTCTGTGTTTAGTGGATATAATCACACTGGCAGCCAGGCACATCCTAGTATCAAATTATCTTTTCATTCTCACCATTGCAAAAATAACCTATCTCTGACCCCTAGGTTTTTATACAGAGGTTCCGGAACCCATTGTCCCCTAATTCCTGATTTAGCACAAAATCCTGTTGTGATGTGAATTTGATTTGGAATGTCAACTGAGGACTTTCTCAGCTGTTCCTGCATAAAGACTGGAATTCTACCTTGAGGTTGCCAGCACTTTGTAGTGTAGGGAAAAAAAATGTAGTAAAAGTTAGATGGATAGGTCGAGGCACGTAGAAAGATGGATGCTTTAACTCAGACTGAGGAACTCATTCATAATTGATGAGCCCCACCCTTTTTTTCTTTTCTGCTGTTTAGGAGTAATCAGCACTTCTGCACCGCTGGATCGAGAACAGAAAGCAGAGCATATCCTTGAGGTGAGTTTGCAGGCTTCTTTTTACACCCCATATCCCTTGATTAATTGGCCCGTTCTAAAAGTATGATTTGCGAGTGCAAACAAATGATCTGAATGTTGCATGTCCCTTAAAAGACAAGGCTGCATATGCAAAATCAACAGAATATTGCAAAATTATAGATTTCAATATACTGGAGGTATTTCATTTTTCCATATCATGTAGCCAGATATTAAGGTGTTCCTTCAACTAAAATGAATTTTTATTTTTGTCTAACGTCTAAACCTCAAGGTTTTAACAGTGCTCATGGGTACAAGGTATTTCCCAGATGAGAGAGAAATGTAATTATTGTTTTGCTGATGATGGGGTTCATGCACTCTGTTAATACATTTTATCTAACCCTAATTTGCAGTATTATGCAGCAAATGTGTTTGTATTATGCTCTGTGACTTTCAGATACAAGTCACAACTGCTACAGTTGTGCTATAATAAATATAGTTCCATTTCAATTAGTTGTTTTTTTGGTCACATATTTATTCATAGATGACATACGCAAATATTTAATATCTTAGTACAGCAACAGTGAATTTGTCTGAAACTGTTCTTTTGATATACTGACCCTTGCAGTGGTAGTTCTACATCAATTTGCATTAGTAGGTTTTCTACAGATCAGTGAAGCATAATTAGCAAGTTTTTGACAAACTAGACAGGGCTTGCTGAAAATGATGTGATTTATATTGGTTGCTAAAAGGAGGACTTTTTAAATGAAATGTCATTGAAGAAAATAAGAGGGTCAAGCTGGAGCTGCCAAAATGATGCTTGTGAGTGAACAGGTCAATTTTAAACACATGATTTTAAATATACTATTAATATTACATAATCCAAGTTGTGTAATCATTTCCACCACAAGCTGTTATAAACTAACTTTACTCATATTAAATGTAGCACTGTGAGCCCCCGGACACTATCCAACCAAATTCAGCCCCTGGTTGGTTGAAGTAAATATCTGCCAATTGCGTTCCAGCAGATATTAAGCAATGTCAAAGTTCAGCTATACCATAGAAATTCCAAAAGGCTGAACTTCAGGTGTTAGCTGGTCTGTTAGGTGTAGGCAAAGTTCAGAATTGTATTTTTTTTTAACCATTTGAATGGTCACGAACACAGAGGTAAACCTGTCAAAGCAAAAGCCTAACAGGAGTGGAGAGCGGAGAGTGATTACTTGCAGGTATGCCCTGTTAAATCGGCCATGTTCTCTTGCAGGTCACAGTCTCAGACAATGGCAAGCCTCCCCTGCGCTCCACGGCCACTGTTATCATTCAAGTGCTGGATGTGAATGACAACAGCCCCCGCTTTGCCCACAAACTGTTTTATGTAAGGCTGCCAGAGCGCCAGGACGTGAGAGAACCGCAGGAAGTGTATAGAATGATTGCTCACGATAACGACGATGGACCCAATGCCCGGGTCACCTATAGTCTTAAGGAAGATGCAGACAATACATTTTCCATTGATCCCATCACTGGGATTGTGTCCTCTGAGAGCAACTTTGGCCCGGGAGCTTACAGCATCCTCACGGTACAGTTGTTTTCACTCATTTTTCTCATTTTCATTGCCAGCGTGTTTTTACAGGGTCTTCTCTTCTTTTCCCTTAGACTGTCAAGTGGAATAAGCAAAAACAGAGGAAAACCAAACATCTTCACAGACATAGATAGATAAGGGAAGGGAAATTGATGAAACATGGGAATATTATTTTAAATAAATGTATATTATTCAGAAAACTGTGAATATTATTTTAGTGTAAACCTTAAGCATTTGTTACAATCTGTAAAATGTGCCACAAAAATCAGACTTTGCTATTAGAATCTTATCAATCCAATGTACATACATAATTGGATGTATAATGCACTGGGCAATGTTAGGCCATTCCAAGCAGGATCCTTTTCTTAGTGTGGCCTAAATGTGAAGTGAATATGTCAGTAAATTATGCTTAATTTCCCACTATCGCCATCATGAGCATGATGTAGCCTGTTCACTCATTAAATTCCTCTGCCTCTTGCTGACAAATGTGTTATAAATATATATGCTTTTTCTTTTTATCTTTTGCTGCTTCAGATCAAAGCAACGGACAGTGGAAGTCCTAATAGGAGCTCAACATCTCGACTTGATGTTGAATGGATTCCCAAACCTGCCCCTACCTCTGAGATGCTGGCTTTTGATGAGCCTCACTTTAACTTTGCTGTCATGGAGACAGACCCTGTAACTCATATGGTCGGAATAATCAGCACAGAAATCACACAAAGCCTGCTTTGGTTCAACATTATAGGTAAGGAAGGCCTTTGTTAGAATATTCTCTACTTCTGTAGTGAGATAAAATACTTGTGCTTCCTCTTTGACTGAGGTCCAGCAAGCCCTGCAAAAAATAACAAATAACAAAACTATGTTATTATTAACAATTTTACTAATAATTCATATGATTGTTCTCCTTCTCTCTTTTGAAAAAAGACACTGATATGTTTACCAATGTGTGGCTCCAGCACTAATTATACTGTTTTACTTTTTGTGAAAAATACATTTGAAGGACATATATTAAATATTCTAAGAGAGAATAAGAAATCTAAGATAGCGTAAGAAGAGATGCTTAGATTTGTAAGTATGATTTTATATATTTCATCCAATTAACCAACATTTCCTGAATTGATATACTTCATACAGGTATATAGAGATACCAGGTTAATTTTTCAAAATTGTAGCTCTCTATTTAAAAAAGACATTTTTGCAATAATTCCCTTTTTTCCGAAAGCCTGAGACATGGCCAAGAAAAAAAGCAAAATAAATTGATCAACTTTATCTTGCCATTCTCATTCTGAACAAGAACATACATTTTTTCATTAGGAAATGCAAATCAATCTCCACCTTCTAAATGTAGAAAGGTTTGCAAACTACAAGGGCCTGCTGGATTAATGCCTGAGATGCCTTTTCAGCCAGAGGGTATGACTTCTGTCAAATGAGAGCCTCAACATGTATGATCTGATAAGCCAGCATGGTACACAGGGGGCCCTGTGTTGATGGAACTGCCATCGTTCACTTAATGCTTGAAACTTGGGTGGTGTTTGTGGTTGGTTATTTAATGATCTGCCGGTGCTTGTCAAACAACAGGGTGGGGGAGAGATTTACTGGTGCAATCACCATCGCCCTCAAACTAAACTCTCAATTGTCCATTGAGTGCTGCAGCTCAGGAACTCTCCCTGCTGTTGTTCTGTTGTTTGTTGTAACCCCTGGTTAGCACCAGGAATTTTGTGTGAATGTGGAAAGTCGTGAAGGGTCCAGGTTTGTCACTACCGTGTACTGAAGTGTCTAAATAGCACAAATCCATTTGTCTAGGAACTAGACGGGAGGAATACTGCCTTTGTAAATATTACAGTTAATATTTCATAAACGAAAAAAAAAAAACATTCTTTCTATCTGAAAAACAGAAATGTAACCTAAATACATATTTAAATAAAAGTATTATCTGTTTCATGAAAATACATCATAATTTATAGTGTTCTTGATCTCCTTTTTAAAGTAACTTAAATAATTGGTACTGCAGTACACTTTTGCTTATATAAACTTATTCCATGTTCCAGTTTTTTTTTTAATGCTTATGTGTCTTTAAAATGTAATTGACTAATTACTAATTGGCTAGTAAACATAACTCTGATAAGCACAGACAAGAATTTGCTGAAAAAAAAGAAGTAGATGGTTTTGTACATGTATTCTTTGAGCTGTAGTGTTTAAAAACTTCTCTGCAAGTTTTCTAATCTGAGATTGAAGAGGTTTTGTCACAACCTAAGCATTGAGCAACTGTATGTTTGAGCAATGGAGATAATAGCTTGACTTTAACCTGTTTGGCTGTAGGAAGGTTGACCATACGTTGACCATTGGAATCTCGCCACCCCCCAGTTTAGTGGAAGGAGCTGCTGAAAGGGCTGAGATGGGGTTGGGGGAAGAGAGACAAAGTATGCTGGGAAGGGAGGGTTTTTTGTTTGTCGTCAATACCTATAGTAACCTGCAATAGTCTGTCATTTCAATAAGTAATGTGTATCCTGCTTCAGTAATGAAGAAGATCAAATTCTGTGATTTGATGAGAAACTACTACAAGTAATTTCAGTGTTACTTTCGTCATAAGGTGATCAGAAATATTTCCACTTTTACCTTACATTAAAAAAAAAAATCAGTTTCTGATTTTTCTTTAGTTTATATATTCCAGTTTGGTTTCGCCATAGCAGTCAGTAACAAGGGCCCTTTAAAGCTAAACTGCTGAGTCTTCGAGAGCTGTATTTCTTAATAAACACCATCTGGGGGAGCAAGCACGACATCAGCCCCATAGGGAGCAACGTCTGTTCGAATGACTGTGCGGCCAAATGTTTCCTCTCAAACTATTGTGTGTTCATGTGGCTTATTTTCAAGCTGGGAGTCGTTTTGCTGTGACCTTGTATATTTCATTAACATATGTAGGGCAAGTAGTAATGAAGGATGCTTCATTGAATTGGTATTGACAGCTTATTTGTGCCTTGTGCTTTAGTGCAGATACAGGTGGGCAATCTTACATTCAATAAAGGCAGAAGTAATACAGATTTGATTATACAAACAGTACTACTACATAGGATACCTGTTCATGTACAGTAAATCACATTCTGTTCAGATGACATGCCTCAGATTCTCACATAGGACAGGGAGCGCTTTGACGCTAATTAGGTTAAAATTAGTAACAATAAAGGTGTTTCGCAACCTATTTATGTGCCATGCAGTAGTTATAGATATCTCTTTTTTCTGTAACCTAAGCTGATATTTTAATAGTATTTCAGTAGTTTCCTAGACCCAATTTTCAAGAAATTCAGTCTCTGGGGTTTAAGCCTCCAGTTCTGGTGTCCTTTCCCCTTGACTTTCTTGCTCGGATTCAAGTGAGTTAGAACTGTGAATATACTGTAATTTGTGAGACTGGTTTCAAGCCCTTCTCGTCCCTGTCAAGTGCTCTCTGGTATTTGAGCCATTAAGAAAACCTTCCAGCAAGTGAAGGTAAACAATTTAGTTTGTAGTACTTTAGTAAACAGGCGTTCATAAAGCAGAAACGATTTAAAAATCTCAAAAGCATAACCAGCAAAGGTAGAAGAAAGTCCCCTTTTGTAACTATCCCCTTTCCTGCTTTTATTTTCTTAATTCCTTTTCTTTGGTTGTCAAAATATTTCTTGTTACTTCTCCAACCTTCACAAAGCGTGCGCCGAGCATTCTTGTGGGTCTCGCTACATCCCGAGCCGCTGAGACTTGCGAATTGCCTGCTGACAGCTGTGCTGCCAGTGGCTGCAAGAGCTCAGGGGAAGTGAGAAATCTGTCATAAGGGCCACGGCTTTCAACACAATCCATGTTTTGTAGGTGGTGACAGCGAAAAGGAGTTTGACATAGAGAAAAACAGCGGGAGCATTGTTATTGCCAGACCATTGGATGCGGGAAAGAGGTCAAACTACAACCTGACTGTGAGAGTCACAGATGGAACCCAATCTATCAAAACACAGGTAACATCACCTCATTTGTACACCTGCGGTTGTATGTCTTTGTGTGCACGCATTCAGGGACATGTACATTTATGACAATTTTTTAAATAAGAAAACAAACCATGTAACTGAAAATCCTGTAATCTCATGGCCTGCATTTTTGTCAGTGATTTTATTAAACCGTACTTCAGACACCTGGAGTTCGTTGGAAGTTTGGTTTGTGCCAGCTTCAGAAAATAAGCAAGGATACAGATCAGCATACTATACATGCTTTCAGCGCCTTATGCTCTTCCATCTAGAAAAAGCCAGATTTCATATCCCAAGAAGATAATCGATTGTGTTTTCTTTTATTTGAATGAATTTTGCGTTACATGGCTTGTATGACATGAACAAAAAATATTTTTATGGTAAATCAAACATTTGTGTAAGTTCCGAATCCTGTATGTTGTATATGACAGCATTTAAATAATACACTTGATAGCCACTGTATTTAGATTACATATATATTTATGGGCAGCACAGCGATTAACATTGCTTGTCCACAGCACTGGGGCCCTGGGTTCATTTCCTGGAGTGCTATCTTTATGGAGATTGTATGTTTTCCCCGTGTTCACAATGGGTTTACTCTGGATGCTCTGGTTTCCTCCCACAGTCCAGAGACACACTGGTAAATTAATGAAAATTGTCCCTGACATGAGTGTGTGTGTGTCTGTGTGTGTCCTGTGATGAACTGGTGTCCCATCCAGTGTGTATCCTGCCTTGCGCCTGTTGCTTGCTGGGATAGGCTCCAGGTCACTGTGACTCTTAATTGGAAAAGTGGTTACTGAAAGTGATGTGATGTGACTTATTTTTATGTTTTAATTTATACAGTATTTCACATATACTAAATAACACTGGAAATACTATCTCTAATGAAACTCTTTTAATTGCATATTACATGACAACAAAGTACATTCTGTATACTAAAACTGTGAGATGTGACACTACTAGGTTCTGTGTTTTTGAGACGATGGACAAAACTGAGGTACCTGGAGAAGCCCTGTGTGAACGTCACATAGAAAGGCGTGCCCAGACTGAAAATCAGATCCAGGACTCTAAAACTGTAAGACAGAAATGCTCAGCATGGGTCCACCAAGTTGTCCCAAAAGAACTAGGGCTATTTAAAAAGTCAAGCATTCAAGGATATGCAAAAGTCAGTTCTTATGGACAATTTCAGCATTACATCCATTGGATCAAAAATAATATTTTTAGTGTGGTTGATTGTGCATGACACTCTGTTAAGTGTGTGTCCTAATTTATTTTCTGTTTACTCCCCCCTTTAACTGTAGTTACTGTGTTAAGAGAAAAGATGGTTCTCAGTTGGCCACATTGGAGGCCTGCTGTGGAGGGTTAGAGTTGTAGGCTGCAAAGAAATTACCCTGCTTATTTATTTCATTCTGCTGCCAGGCTTACATCCGTGTGGTGGACATCAACAAGCACAGACCTGAATTTCTCAAGAGCCATTATGAGGTGAAGGTTCCAGAAGACACTGCCCCTTGGAAAGAGATCCTGCAGCTCAGTGCACAAGATAAGGATGGGAGCAGCAGCTTGGTCTACACCATTCAGAGCAGCATGACCCCAGCCAGTGTCAATTTCTTCAGCCTGAACCCCAACAGCGGGGCTCTCGTTCTGACGGAGAAGCTGGACTTTGAGACTCTGCCTGTTCACACTCTCACTGTGATGGTAGGTCGGCCTTTGGACCTGCTGCCTTTTTTGATATTGTAAAGAATTCTCACATCTCGAAAGTATTAACAGAGAGGACTTACATTTAAAAAAGCAATGAAATGCTTTACCATTAATTGTGTGGTTAAAATATAAATAAACCATTAAAAACATATTGCCATCCATACTATAACATCATTAACCTTTTAATAATAATCAGTTATCACTTATATAGTGCTTTTCTGGGCACTCCACTCAAAGCACTTTACAGTAATGGGGACTCCCCTCCACCACCACAGCATCCGATGTGCAGCATCCTGGATGTGACGGCAGCCATAGTGCCCCAGTATTCTCTCCACACACCAGCTATCAGTGGGGAGGAGAACAGAATGATGAAGCCAATTTAAAGATGGGGATTATTACGAGGCCACGATTGGGAAAGGCTAATTTTACATTCACCTTAGATGTATTAGCTATTTCCTGCGACCATATTTGTGATACTCATACTAAAGAAAAGTCTTTAGGCCTGACTGGATTGGTGCTGCAGGTTAATTGCAACAAAGCTCGTTTTTCATTGCTCCTTCAGGTGAGAGATCAGGAGATCCCAGTGAAGCGGAACTTTGTGAAAGTGGTTGTTCACGTGGAAGATTGCAATGACCATGCTCCTGCCTTCATGAGCTCACGATACGAAGGACGTGTCCTCAACATGGCTACAGCTGGGGCAGAGGTGTTACAAGTCAAAGCTCTGGATAAAGACAAAGGGAGCAATGCAGAAATCATCTACACGTTTCTCTCCGGTAGATGCAGTGTGAACGTTAACAAATCATTATTCCTGCTGTACAGTTTGTTTTTTCTTTACACCTAAGTATTATTTGAGAGGATTCTTTGAGAGATAGTCAAGCTCATTAATTGGAAAGACAATCATAATAGCTGCAATGAAACATTTGATTGTAGTTTTAAAGAATTAACCCAAGGACAGCACTCAGCATACAATATGCTAAAATGACACTCAGACATCTAATGCAGTTTTGATGACGCAGTTTTTAGACCTAAAAAACTGATTATGTTTGAGTTTTTTTCTAGTATGTCTTAGATTTTTGTTTTTCATGCCTTAAAATACAGGTGGTGAGTTATTTATCTGTATTAGATGTTCATTCTTTAATAATGAATAATAGGAGAACATTTTATATGTTAAAGGTATGGTGCACTACTCCAGTCCTGCAGCAACAGAAGGTTTCTGTTTTGTTTTTCCACCTGAACCCTTAATTACCTAATTAAACTAATTATTTGCTTAACTGGGCATATATCAAACTAATGTATGGTTAATACATTAAGAATAACTGAATTGTTTTGATTGATGCAGTAAGAAATTTGAGGACTCTTGGGTCAATATAATAGGAATATGATAGCCATTTGGATTGTTACATTCTTTCGTTGGCAGATGGACATCTGCATTAAATAACCTATTTTTTAAAAAAACACAATTTGCTTTCCTTGCAAAGTGTATTCATTTAGGTGAACATGAAGATTAGTCAGATATAATAGGATTATATCTGTTTCATCAATGAAAGTGTCGCTCATCCGATTGGATGATGGCAAATAGTCAGCCTGCATCAGTGTGAGAGCTAAAGCATTAATCTCTTCTTCTTTTTTGTATTTGTTTAAACAAAGGTGAAAAGCTTATAGGTATTATAAAGTAATACAATTTTGCTTAACGTAAGTCAATTGAAATGTCCTTCAGAAGGATTCAGTTTTTGAGTCTGACCTGTTAATTCGGCTTTGCTTGGGCTTTTTTCGAAGTCTTTCTTGTATATGTTTTAGAATTTTGTTTTTATGCTTTAAAATATGGGTGGTATCAATTTATTCTTGTAAGTTCTTGAATTGTTTATACTGACTTAACATAAAGACATGGATATATCTGCAGAATGAAGTAAAATAGAATTATATATTTTTTTAAATACATCACGTTTTCTTTTGCTTTCTAGGAAACACTGAGGGTGCTTTTGCTATTGACCCAAAGACTGGAAGAATTACAGTGGCAAAGCCCTTAGATAACCTTCCACAAGAAAACTACCAAATCACAGTGGAAGCCACCGACCAGGGCTTTCCACAACGCAGTGACATCAGCACTGTAGTCATTCACATCAACCTTTCTGTCGAAACCCCACCCAGATTCCTCATCAATGAGTATTTTGCAGAAATTAGTGAAGCAGCACCTGTGGGATCGCCAGTGACTACAGTGTCAGCATCCAGCCCCTCAGGTGTACGATATCAAATTAAAGATGGAGACCCCAATGGGACTTTTCAGATAAACAGTTTCTCAGGAGTGCTTTCCACCCAAAAAGCTTTGGATTTTGAGAAGAATTCTTCTTATCAGCTTGAAATCAGGGGTTCCACACTGTCCGGGACCTTTTCTGACACGATTGTTTTTGTGTATGTGATTGATGAGAATGACAACGCACCCTCTTTTCTCCGGGAAGAGTTCATAGGTCAGATCAGTGAGTCTGCTCACGAGAACAGCATGGTGATGGGTGAGTTAAACACACCTTTAGTCATTCAAGCCACTGATGCTGACAAGGATTCAAATGCTCTTTTGGTTTATCAAATCCTTGAGCCAGAAGTGCAGAAGGTCTTCAGAATTGAACCCAGCATGGGGACTCTCTTCCTGACATCCAGTGTGGATTTTGAAGTTACTTCAGAATTTCAATTCAGTGTGCAAGTCCATGACTCTGGGGAACCTCCACTATATGCATCTAAACCATCAAAGGTGACGGTGCGTGTCCTTGACATTAATGACTGTCCCCCCAAATTTTTGAAACAACAATATGAATCTTCTCTCATATTACCTGCTTTTCAAGGGATGGAAGTTATAAAAGTGTTGGCAAGCGATGCCGATTCAGATGTTATATACAGCATCAATGAAGGCAATGTTAACAATGCTTTTGCTATTCATCCTAGCAGTGGCCTCATCACAGTGAACAATGCTTCCAACCTCAGACAGAACTATCAGCTTTTTGTAAAAGCCTCTGATGGACTGTACAAAGACACAGCTCTTATTAAAGTCAACTTCACCAGCATTACAGGGCATGGTCTTGTGTTTCAGAACAAGTTCTACGTGGCCACTGTTTCTGAGAACAGTACATCTGTTAAAACTTTGCTTGTAGTGAGAGCCTCTGGGAGCTATTTGAATGAGCCTTTGATCTACTCAGTTTCAAACTCAGATGGGATGTTTTCAGTCATCCCAACTTCTGGGGTTCTGGAAACAACAGGCATTCCCTTCGATAGGGAGAGGCAAGACGTATATGATGTGGCTGTTGAGGTCAGGGATACCAGAGATCCTCCCAGGAGAGCCCTCACCTATGTGAAGGTGTATGTAGATGATATCAATGATAACGCACCAGAGTTCTTAAACTTACCTTATGCTGTAACTGTCCAGGATGATGCAGATCCAGGGGATGTGCTGTTTCAGGTCACAGCAACAGACAAAGATCTTGGAGAAAATGGAGCTGTCATGTTCTCTCTTCAAGATGATTTTGACCTCTTCAGAATTGATCCTTATCTTGGGGATGTATCCCTTCAGCGATCCCTTGACTTTGAATCTATGAATAAGTATGTTCTCACAGTAATAGCGAGTGATGTGGGTGACCCAAGCTTGACATCTGAAGCAGAGCTTATTGTTCAAGTGAGAAACAGGTCCAATCCAATATTTCAGAAGCTTCATTACCTATTGAATATTCCTGAAAACATTTCCCCTTTCACAACAATCTTGCATGTACAAGCTAGGAATCCTGAAGGTTATCGTCTGATTTACAATCTAGTAGAAGAAAATGCTTCAAAAAACTTTCATATTGACTTTAAAACTGGTGTTCTAAGTGTCACCGACTTTTTGGATTACGAGGCCCAAACTAAACACACTTTTACCGTTAGGGCCACAGATTCAGTGACAGGGACTTACTCTGAAGCTAAAGTTGATATTGAAATTGAAGATATTAATGATAACCCTCCACTGTTCCAGCAGAAGACTTACACAGCTCATGTGTCAGAGGGATCACCTATTGGCACTTCAGTAATACAGGTTTCTGCCACCGATAAGGACTCAGGAAAGAATAAAGCAATATTATATCAAATAGTGGAGACAGGTCAAAATGATAACACTTTCTTCAGTGTTGATGCTCTTACTGGGCTTGTAGTAACAACACATGAACTGGATTATGAAGCCACTCAACAATTTCATTTAAAAATCAGGGCTATAGATAATGGAGTGCCTCCACTGAGCAGTGAAGCTTTCATTGTTGTAAACGTTTCGGATGTCAATGATAACCCTCCAGCATTTAACCAAGCCCAATATGATGCTGCTCTAAATGAAATGGCTATGTGTGGCCATATCGTAATCAAGGTCCAAGCTTCTGATCCTGATAGCATAAATGCCGACAATCTAGAGTACATGATACTATCAGGCAACAATGACCGGCATTTCGCCATCAATCATTCCTCAGGTATTATCTCATTTTCCAATGTTTGCAAGAGAAGCTTAGATCCTTTTTACAACCTCACAATTGCTGTGTCAGATGGAGTATTCAAAAGAACAGCACCAGTTAACATCAACATGATGAATATTAACAAGCACAGCCCACACTTTGAGCAAAATATCTATGAAGCTGAGCTAGCTGAGAATGCTGAAGCTGGGACGCAGGTTATTAGACTAGCTGCTATAGACCCTGATGATGGGCCTTACGGTAGTGTTGACTACACAATTATTAACAAGCTGGCTGATGAAAAATTTTCAATAGACAAGAATGGTCAGATAGTGACTACTCAGGCCCTCGACAGGGAAAACCCAACCCAGAGAGTCATTGCTATCAAGGTTATGGCCAAAGATGGAGGAGGAAAAGTTGCCTTTTGTACTGTTAAAATCATACTGACTGATGAGAATGACAATGCTCCCCAGTTCAAAGCCTCAGAATATCAGGTCTCAATTCAGTCCTCTTTGAGCAAAGGCTCTCCTGTCATTCAGATTATGGCTTATGATGCAGATGAAGGCAAGAACGCCGATGTCACTTACACTGTTGATGAAGCAGAGGAAGTCACTGAGGATATTATTGAAATTAATCCTTTCACTGGAGTTATCAGTGTCAAAGAAAGTCTCGTTGGCCTGGAAAATAAGATTTTTAATTTCAAAGTCAAAGCTCGAGATGGGGGTTCTCCTTACTACAACTCCAGTGTGCCTGTCCAACTTAATGTTGTTCCCTCTGAAGTGACTTTGCCACAGTTTTCTGAGCCTCTTTACACCTTTTCAGCATCAGAAGATATACCTGTTGGTTCAGAGGTTGGGACAATAAAGGCAGATGCTGATATCCCTCTAATATATAGTTTGGTGGAAGGCAACACTGTGGAAAGTAATAAAGAAAGAGTCTTTGCTGTGGACAGTGATAGTGGGACACTTCTAGTGCAGAAGAGTATTGACCACGAGAAAACCAATTGGTACCAAATTGATGTCATGGCACAATGTAATCATAATGGAACTGATGTTGCTTCAATAGTGTCTGTGAGTATCCAGGTCCAGGATGTAAATGATAACAGTCCTGTGTTTGAAGCTGACCCTTACAGAGCTTTTCTCACAGAAAATATGCCTGCTGGAACCACTGTCATTCAGGTGACGGCCATTGATCCGGACACTGACACAAACGGACAAGTTTCCTATAGGCTGGAGTCTGAATCTGACAGCATCAACGATGTCTTTATGATTGATAATGAAAGTGGGTGGATCACCACCTTGAAAGAAACTGACTGTGAAACCAACGGTTTCTACGTGTTCCATGTTGTTGCTACGGATCATGGAGGGAAGGTCAAACTGTCCTCTTCGGCCCTGGTGAACGTGACCATTACGGATGAGAATGACAGCCCGCCAGTGTTCACTGAAGAGGTGTACCAAGGATCTGTTGTTGAAAACAGCCCTCCTGGGGAAGACATTACTACAGTGAGCACTACAGATGCAGATGTATCAGAGGCCAACAGACAGGTTACATGTTACATAACAGGTAAGTTTCCTTTTTGATATTTTCTTTAGATTTATGAAAAATCAAAAACAAGAGGCAATAAGCAAAACACTACAAGAAAATACAAGAAAAGAATAACTGTCATTGGCCTCAACCCTGGATTTATTAATCAAGCCATCATATTGGAAAGTTATAGGGAACATACCAGCATTTTTTCAGGTATACTTTACTAATTAATTTGGTTCATATGCAAAGTGCATATATCAGCAACTTAACTGATTAATGAAGTTCTGTGCAAATCACATGTTCATATGTTATGTACTAAGATCTAATGGTAACAATTTTTATGAGTTTTATGGTAGCACATTTGCAAAAAATGGGTTAAAATGTACAGGAAAGAGGTCCATAACAGTTTAAAATGGCCAACAACTGGACCTTAACATCATTAAGATTAAGAAACACTACTAAAACGAGTGAAATAATTTTGGTGATGTTTTGTTGGGAAATGTAATAGAGGCCCTACTGGTTAACCTTAAGATCATTGCAAATTGACATGACACAGAGCAGTCAGAGTCAAGTAGAGTATAAATCACAGTTGTTACATAAAACAGCTCTGCCCCTGTGCTTAAAGTTGGAATAACTGAGGAAAACCTAACCTCTCCATTTAGTTTTCAGACTGTGAGATGTATTTCTCAGAATAAAAATCTGTTCCCCATGTTTAATCTCATTGATTGACATCTTCATTAACACTTAAAAGCGAATAATCGTTATACCTAGAATATATTTATCAAGATGGTATCATTTTAATTAGTTAACATACAGTATATTTGTTTAGGTTATTTTAAAGAGGATATAAACTACTGTATGCAGGATATAAACTACTGTATAACATAATCATTTTCTAACCCTCATTATCCAGTATAGGGTCGCTGGAAACCAGAGCCTATCCTGGCAAACAAAGGGTACAAGGCAGGATACACCATGGATGGGATGTCAGTCCATCACAGGGCACACACAGATAGAAACACACACACATTCACTCCCGCCAGGTTTTACAGAATTAAATTAACATACCTGCATGTCTGTTGGAGGAAACCAGAGCACCCAGTGCAAACCCATATGAACACGGAGAAAACGTACAATTTCACACAGATAGCACCCCAGGAATTAAACCCAAGGCCCCAGTAGTAGGAGGCTGCAATGTTTACCAGTGTGCCACCATGAAGCCCAGGTGACGACATGCTGTGCTCAATATTCTGAAAGTGAATTCAGAAACAACTAATGAATCCCAATCGGTCCTCTCTGTTTGTGTCCAGATGGGGACCCCCTGGGACAGTTTTCTATGGAGCAAAATGGACAAGAATGGAAGGTGAAGCTAAAGGACACAGTTGACAGAGAAGTGAAAGAAAAATATACACTGAAGATCACAGCAACGGATGGAAGGTTTCAGGCCTTTTCCACAGTAGAGATTCATGTTCTTGATATCAATGACAACAGCCCTCAGTGTGAACAGGTAACCCACATCTCCATCCAATTCGTGTTCTAAAATATGACTGCTCACATCCAGATTAATGGATTAAATGTTTTTAATTATTCTGCTTTCAATTATTTTGTATAGATTTTTTTCTTTGGTGAGATTATTATTAATATAATAATATATTATATTAATATATTTAAAGTCATGCAATTTCATTACAGTTCTTTGCAAAAGTTCTGTAATTTGCATTTGGATATAAACAAAGTTGCTTAAAATACAAATATATATATTTGAAAGTATTAAAGTAGTACCATACCATGTCCCTTTTATATGTTTAATAACAATTTAGGTTTTGTAAATGTCACTTTGTAGTTTATGTAGTCTCAATGAATCTATTTATACAACAAATATCTATTAGAACTGATTTACTGATTAGAACAATCTGATCTTTGTAAACAGGCAATTAATCATGTTGTAGTCATGCCAGTCAATTCCAAACAGGATATTCTCACTCCATTAACACATCAATTATAGCACATTACACAACACAGAAAAATAAATATTGGAACTGGAACAAAAAAACTCATTGTCTCTGATATTTGCTTTGTTTTAAACAACTTGTTAACTACTACACAGTATGTTCTGTCTTTATGGGGGGGGGATAAGGAGCTCACCCACTTCAAGTTCTCTCTTCAAAGTAAATTGCTGTTTTTGCTTTTAATCTCCCTTAAATGATTCTAATCCTAAAACTGCACTGACTTTGCATTGGTTTATTTTGTTAAACTGGGAAAGATACATTTCTTTAATCTTTTCAATACACTGTGTTATTGTACAAAAGGGAAATGATTATTAAACTAAATTATCATATTTTTTTAATATTTGTGAGTTCTGAAAGGCTTAATATAAGATAGCTGAGGTATTTGTTTTTAGTAAGTTCTTTGTTCACTCTACTCTGCTGTAGCTGTTGTATACTGAGGTCGTACCAGAGAATTCTCCGTCAAGACTCTTCATACTAAAAGTTTCAGCGAAGGATCCAGACCTTGGTACCAATGGACAAGTTGTTTTTACTCTTCACGGTCCCAGCGCAGAAAAGTTCCATCTCGACCCCCTGACCGGTGAGACAAGGCTTTCATTTTGAGTTGCTACGTACCGCCTTCCATTCTCCGAAAAGTGATAAGATAGCATCTGTCTTCCTGCAAATTTGTGTTGGAGTGCACAGATAATGCTAACACAATGAAAGCTGTATCCTGCTGAGAAAGGTCTTTATGTTTTGGATTTCTCTTCTTGTTTTCACATTTTGATTCACAAGTATTTCCTGTCTCATCAATCATGCTTTATTATTGTAGATCATATCTCCCTTTCACAACTTTCTATGTTGTCCAAAGCTATGGATCCCCACATTTATGCTAGGGTTATTTTATTTTTAAACTTGTTCAATCATTAGAACAATAGATTAACAGGGTATCTTAATGTTTTGCTTTGAGTACAATTAGGAGAAATTCCATAATTGTTTAAATTGCTTATATTAATAATATTGCACACTATCTGCCATTTATTGTAGTATTTCTGTTAAGGCTAAAAGTGACCACACAAATGCACGAAAAATGAATCTGTGTTGCTAAATCCCACTTGCAGTTAGTTCTGTTTTTTTAGTAATGAGCGCCAGAATGATGAGTTGCACAACCGATTAGCTAATTTTTGACGTGTTTAAACATGTTAATTGTTGGACTACATTATCAGTGCTTGTGAGAAAGTGCAATGCCAGCTGAGTACAAACTTTTCTGAATAGAATCAAAACATTATTTTAAATAAAATTGTTACATGTATTTAAGAAACATTAAATTGCATTGAGGGCAACACAGTGGCACAGGGGTTAGCATTACTGCTCCAGCCCTGGGTTAAATTCCTGAGATCTGTGTGAAGTCCATATGTTCTCCCTGTGCTTGTGTGGGTTTCCTCCAGGTGCTCTGATTTCCTCCCACAGCCCAAAGACATGCAGGTAGGTTAATTAGCTTGTGGGAAAATGGGCCCTGGTATCAGTGTGTGCATATTTGTAGCAAAGAGGAGTTAAGTGCCATGTGTACTTGTACTTTGGAATTCTTATTTACGCTGATCTTTCAGGACAAGCACAGTACAACAGACACCACCACACAATGTAGACAGTACATTACAAAATGTTAGATATTAAATAGTAATAACCAGAACAATTAATACATTGCAGAAAACAATCATGTGGTAGTGAATAAAACGGTAGTCCAAGTGAAAAGAGCAGAGTACAGAGGTGCATTGAGTTCTGAGGCACTGCGCAGTTACTGTAGCTGCTAAGGATGCACACTCCCCTAGTGTAGAAGCTGTTCTCAAGCCTTGTGTCTGTGTGTGCATTGTGATGGACAAGCATCTCGTCCAGAGAGGTGTATCCTGCCCTTGGCCCCTCATTTGCAGAGATAGGCTCTTGCCCCCCTGAGATCCTGTATTGGCTAAAGCAGTTAGAAAATGGCAGATGGATAAATTGCACTGAATCATCACTGTGCTGCTGACCACATTCTTTGAAGAGACCATGGCCTATATCGCCTGCACTTTGAAACGATCTGTTTGGTCTTAAATGTTTCCATCATTCTGCAGGAACAGTTTTAACCAATCATTTCTCAACTTTAACCTTTTTTTTCTGTCCAGTCAGATAACAATAAAACAACAACAATAAAAACAGTGTGTGATGGCATTTGGTATGAAACACGTGATTTATTGTTGTGTTTAACAGCATAAATTCATGAAACTTTGGGGTAAATGTTTAAGAGAAGGTGATTGATTACTCACATCTATTAATTTCATCAGCACCCCTTTATTTCCATTCCTACAAAACATTGGAAATAGCGGCAATTCAAATGAATCATCATACCGTACATTGGAGCCTTAATTCCAAGTTACTTATTTTTAGATTCTACAGTGTCGAATATATACAGAACCTGCTGTATTTTTGTAGAACAATAGCTATGCAGATATATCCTGCTGGGAAGCATAAGTAATCTCTCAAGACCCACTGGTGGATCATCACTTTTAAAGAGATAATAGTTATCAGGATAGTTCTGACACTTGTGTGGTATTTTTGTATCATAATGTACCCCAGAGTGGTCAGAGTGGTACAGATCAGCATTCCCCTAAATGACATGTTGTAGCTGTTGGACTCAAGAGGCCCCACTTGCTCCTACTGCTACCTACTGTTCCACCAACATCACATTGAGGAGCAACCTGATTTTTTTAGAGGTCTCCCATTCCAGTATGAACCAGACCTATCTTCTGAGAATTGGGCCTGGCTTGTACCAGGTTATTAACTCATTAAAAATCCCATGACATACTATATAGACACAAACAGAAGCAAGGGTACCCCCCCATGCTTAATTTATTGTTATATATTGTTTTTAAACTGTACTTGTACAGTACCTATAGCTTGTATATGCATTGAACACTGGTTCATTCAGGCTTTGAGACCTCTATTGCATTAAGTAATTTGATTAAAAGTGTTAAATTCTAAATACTTTTTGTTTAGCCATTGAACAAAATAAGGGAGCATGACTTTAATAATGCGGACTCGATTGAAATATTTTTGATGACATCTGTTCATGTGTGTTGCAGGAGAGCTATTCACGTTAGCCGTTCTGGATCGCGAGCAGCAGATGGAGTATGATTTGGTGGTAAAAGCCACGGATGGGGGTGGACGGTCTTGCCAGGCTGATATAATGTTGATGATCCAGGATATGAATGACAACGCCCCCAGATTCTCCAGCGATCACTATGTCGTAACTGTTTTTGATAACACGACAGTGAAAACCCCCATCGCCGTTGTCTATGCTAAAGACCCAGACACTGGTGAGTCCTTGTTCACTTCAGCTTAAAACAGTCCTTTTTGTTTGTGTTCCAAGTAAAGTGAGCGCTAGGCTGATACCACTGGCATTGTGCTTTGCATTATATAATGAAGAGCACTGCCAACGTGTTTTTTCCTATCACACATCCTCTACAATGAAAGGGAACAATTTTTTAAGTTAAATTCTATTCTATTCTATTCTATTCTATTTCTTTGGATTGCAAAGTTTGGTTCTAATTATGCAAACATATTAAGTACCATTGGAATGGAATATAATCAGTTATTTTTTAAGTGGCAAATGTTTTCATACTTGTGGTTCAAAAAATATTTTATGTTAAAATGAAGCTGCTGCTTTTTTTTACTTTTCACAAATGTCTTTTTCAAACCACAGATGCGCTCACAGTCTCATTCAGTAGTCTAAAGTACAAAGTCAGGAAATGGGCTGGTCTAGCAATCTAATATCGTCTCAAAAATCTGTTCACTGCTTCTGAAATATTTAAATAATTCTGCTTTCTGCTGGTGGCTCATTCGTAGGTGTTTTCTGTATCATCATAAAAAACAAGTGTTTCATGAAGGAACATTATTTAGGCGGAGTGTGGCTGCACCTACAAATGTGCTGCAACTTGTTGGAACTTTCATTTTCCCTCTTTTTAATTTCTTCTGATTTCACTAAATGTTGTTGTGCTTTTCCCTACGAACAACATTAAATAGCACAGAAACTGCTTTGTGTGGCACAGCTGGCTTAGGTATTTTCTTCTCTAAGGAGTGCAGTATATTTTAGTGTTCACTCAAGAGCAAATTGCAAGATTTCACGTCATCTTTACATGTGCACAGTTTCAAAAAGAATTTACAGGTTAGGAAACCATTTAACCTTGATGTTACCAGATATTTACAGAGTGTACACAAACTGCCTACTTTCTCATACATGAAATTAGTATTTCATGAAATACTAATTTCAAAGCACGTAACTAGAACCCAGTAATGCACAGTCACTTAATTACAATTGTATGCTTCCTGCTCCTGTAATTAAAATGATAGGCATTATTACCTTAATGTCATAAATTACCACGCAGAGGAGATAATCATATGCTGCCTATGAATTAATACATTTCATGAACAGCAGTGCAGTGGTCAGCTGTGCTGCCTCGCAGCACTGGGGGCCATGGGCTCAACATTGGACCTGGGGTGCTGTCTGTGTGAAGTTTACATGTTCTCATGTTCACATGGGTTTCATCTGGATGCTGCTGTTTCCTCCCACACTCCAAAACCATACTGATATGAAAATTGGCCCTAGGTCTGAGTTTGTGCATATTTGTGTACCTGACCTTGGGCCTGTTGCTTGCCAGGATAGGCTCCAGTTCCCCTATGACCCTAACTTGGAGGAAGCAGTAAGAAAATGGATGGATGAAATACAGGTTAAGGGAAAGATGAGCATGTAGTTATATCTTCTTTGCAAGTTTAAACTTTCTAATATTATTGCCAAATGCAATGCATTGATGTGTGTGTGAACAACTCTGGAATTAGTCATAATTCTTTATGTTAACATGTACTAAAACATTACAGAATGAGATAATGATATTCTGCAGTCAATGGCAGAAATACAACATGACCTTACCAACTTTGTGATCCTCATTCATAGACTATAGGGAATAAGGGTTGTTTTCTGTTTTCACATACATGCAATTGTACTGTATAGTGGCACTGCAGGGAAGATGTAGTACAAGGATTTACAATTCTGAAAGGAACGGCCAAAACCAACCCTAGATAAGGGCTCACCATGGGCCAAATGGAAACGGAGAAGGAGTGCATTTCAAACTGAAATGGGGAGGAAAATCTTTACACAGATGTCGTTGAAGCTGTTTCACTGGTACCCTTCAGGAAATGGCTGGATAAGATCCTTAAGATAACAGCAGCAAGTGATCAACAAAGAATGAACAACCACTTCTTTGTAAGCTTCCTAATGGACAGTATAGACATTAGGTTTCTACTTAGCTTCTTATGTCCTTAAAGAGCGCATGTGTTGAAAGTTCATTTTTGTATTTTTTTACATTTCTTCTGGAAGCAACAAACCACATTTTTCTGTTTTACCATTTTATTTTTATCTTTCAGGCATCAATTCTGAGGTGGTTTACTCTCTCATCGACTCTGATAGCCAGTACTTTTCACTGGATGAATTCTCAGGGATCATCCGTCTTGAAGCACCTCTGACTGATGAATCAAAATCCCCATTTGAGATGAAGGTCCAAGCAACCGACCGGGGGCTGCCCCGCCATCTGTTTTCTGTTTCCACGGTCACCGTCAACGTGGTGGACTTAAGTGATTACATACCCGTCTTTCTGAATACCGAGTATGTCGCTGAGATCCCAGAATCCACTGCTCTTGGCACAGAAGTGCTGAGTGTCTCAGCGCTGGCAAAAGATGGAGATCAGAACGCAGACATTGTTTATAGCATCATTTCAGGCAATGAGCGCGGGAAATTCTCCATGGATTCAAAAACTGGTAAGGCTGGTCACAACTCAGCTTTAATTTATTTTGACTATTAGAGTGGAACTAAATATGGTCTCAGAAGGAATTAATGTTTTTGAGACAACTAGAAATTATTCATTTTAATTGTTTGAACCTTGTAGTGTCAAGTTCAGGTCCCTGAATAAGAGCCATAAGAGATGGTTATTCCTTTGCCCTGTGTACACCTGAACAATGTAGGACAGATCTATTCACTCAGTGGTTAAAGCTTTTAAATTAAAAAAAAGTTTAAAATTAGCTATGCCCACAATCACTTTATGTGGTTTGTCTGTTCGGGGGCCAACAATCATACATTCGTGACCTGTTTTTCAATTGTGTAGCTCTTTTATTAACAATACTTCTTCTGTTTTATGAGAGGCAGTATTATGCTGTGCATTACAAAGAGCTTTATTTAGGAGTGAATCAAATAATCAGTGCATCATTGCCCTCTTCCTTATATAAACATTTTAAAATCACTACATAACATGTAAAGACTTGAAAGTATTACTAGAAAATGAAATAAATGAACAAATGTATTCATTGTGATTGTACCTATTGCATCAGTGCGTATTTAACTTATTGGGTTTTTATTCTACCTTATAGAGGTCCCACGTCTCTTGAGGGTTCTGTTTTCAAATCTGGCTTTGATCTTTTCTTCTGGGAGGGTTCTGAATTGAGCTGAAGAGTTGAACAGTTTACTTTGAACGAGTTAAATGTTTGGTACAGCAAAATGCAAAGTGTAATTTCAGATCCTGCAGGGAATACAAGTGAATTGCTGTTGTTGGTGGTGGTAGTAAAGTAAGTAGTTGTGGCAGTAGCAGCAATGTTAGTATTAGCACTAGAAATAAAGTGAGCTACGTAAAGAAAGCACAGCTGAATCTCTTTTCCTTCCCCTACTTGTCACACTTTGACATCAGCATAGTACCCACCTGTATGAGTAACATAAGAGTAGTTTTAGCTACTTGAGGAAGATTGCTTTGATCATATTTTATCTGTTCATGGTATAATATAGCCAGCATGACACCTTTATAGAGGTGATATATGATTCTTAGTAATAACACTCATAGTTGTACACAACTATAAAGACATAGCAAATACATAATGTTTTCATGATAATACTTTATTTGTCACTGCAGAGTTCAAAGCATGTGTTGGGGCTGGGCTTGGGCTGGGATTAGACCTCAGGTTAAATAACACACTTTATTTCATATAGCACCTTGATGTGTCAGGATGACATTAAGAGGCTTATAGAATGCTGCTCAATGTTGTAGTTGCAATTGTTTTAAATTATTTTCAATTTAACAAATTTGAAGGCTTTCCACAGCAGTGATGGATATGGTTACAGCCTGACACAACTTGTTTTTAAATTGGAAACAACAACTGTACTGTTTGTCATCTTTTTTACTTGTAGAAGTCTTTACTTACTTTAGAAAAATGTAAACTGGAGCACAAGCATGAAAGCTCCAACATCTCCTGTTACATGAATATACATTAACAGGATTAAAATGAGTAGTTGAATCTTTTTGATCAAAGGCCGAGACATTTTTTAAGAGAGTTTTTTGAAGTGGTTTTAGAAATAAAAATAAGTTTGTTTCCTTCTGGATAGTTTAAAGTGTAAAATTTCTTCAATGAGGGAAATATCTGTATATACTGTATAATAGTCAAAGGACAGATATGACTAATATTACTAAACTAAAACAAAAAGTACATTAATCTTGGAAACATCTGTAATTAATTTTTTTAAAAAACATTTTTTTTAATTCTTGCTATCTCTGCCACTTTTTACTTCTTAAAACCTGGAATGTTGCATGGAGGAATGAATAGGTTTTGTTTTTTTATGGACAACATTGTTTTATTTTAACGAAGTGTAGATTTGAGACTGGCTGGCAGCCCAGAACCATACACAGACCACTATACATAGTGATCTCAGCAACTGAAAAAAACACCAGTAAGGGTATCAAACAATACCCTTATTACACACACCTAGAATTTAGTGGTGTCTTTTTTCTTGCCCGTTCTGTTGTATTTGTCTGCAGTATTTAACAACATAATGCCAGATGACTAAACAACATTTGAGAAGGTGTTTAGTTAATAAATCTGGGAGTGACAGAATGTGATTTTCATTCAAATTACTTTAACACTCAAGTATATGAATGCCATGGGAAATCTGTGCAAGAACTATAGCAGCCTTCTTTGATGTTAAACCTCTTGAGATGCAATTGTTTAATAATTTGTATATGGAGAAAGTATGTTGCATGAATACAATAGTAATAATTCTGTAATTCCTTTATGTTGCTAATTATAGTTGGCCACTTTGATATTGCATAATCAAATATGTACTGTATTGGCTAAACAAGGGATCAGTTGTATCCAGAACTAAAGAGTATTTAGGAGTGTACCTGCTATGGGCATGATTCATCCTATCATCATATTCCAACCTGAGAATATAATATAAGAATATAAAGCTGTCTTTGCCAGTGTATTCTGCTTCCTACTTCTGAAACAAATCCATAATAAGCCAACCGTGTGTCACATTTCCAAAAAAAGGAAAAAACAAAAAAAATATTTGGATAAATATTTGGATGCATTTAGTCAAATGATATGGTCAAATAAAGTAGTGCTTTTGTACAATGAAACTAATAACACAAATTTCCATTTTGAATTAATCTTTGTCAGATCCTAAAGCAGAGTTTCTTTTTAATTTACTTCTGAATTATAGTGAAGTAGTTATTTCCATGCACAAGCAAGTCGATTTCACAGTGTACCTTTAATAATTTGTGCTTTGTCGTAGGTGATTTGTATGTGAATGGATCCCTGGACTTTGAACAATGCCAGGAATATTACCTCTCGGTTGAAGGTATGAGAGGAAAGTCTTCCTCTCTCAGTGATATCACCACGGTGATCATTAATATCACTGATGTCAATGACAACCCGCCAATCTTCAGCCATGGTGATTATAGTGCCGAGGTACCTGAAGATATTGCCCTGGGAGAAACTGTTACCCAGGTATGCTTTTTGTGCTTCACAAAAAATTAAACTCAGTCTTTGGTAAGCAAATAGCAATAATAATGTAATGAAAATAAATAATAGGAACCAAGTCATAAAATTGATGTCTAAAGGTTTGTGCATTTGTATTTACCCAAAACTAATTATAACATAACAGGTTCTGGTTTAGATAACATGTCAGTTGTTGTAAATTAAATTTATATTCTTCAAGTGATGAAGTGTCCAGGGCTTGAGTGTAGACTCCAGCATTGCAGAACTTTAAAGAGAACAGAGGCACACAAACGGACCCGGTTAACTGTACAAGCTGGCTAGAAACTTCCATTCAAACAACCACCTCCTGTTCAAAACCCCGCTAATGAAATGCTCTGTCATTTTTTTTTTGCATACAGCATTTTTAGTTGTTGGATGAATTAAAGAAAAAAGAAACATTAAAGAAGAAGAGAACACTGTTTCAAGCACATCAGTTCAGAGAAAGATAATATAACTGATTCCTGCCATTATATTTGTTTTGCACTTTAGCATCCCTGTAACTTCACATTTTGTGTTACAAACTGCTGATAGAACAGGTCAAACGTATTTCTGGTACAAAGCTATAGTGCAAGACCTTTTCTAAAATATAAAAAATATTTTAAACAACAACAATACTTAGTAGTAGGACTATAGTAGCAAGATGTCACGAGAATTAGACTCGTTCTCTTTGTTCACTCAGCTGGCAATTCTGTGCTCTTCTTCAAGGTTTCAGCTGATGACCTTGATGGGCCCCTGAACAACCGCATCCAATACTCAATCGTTAGCGGCGATCCATGGCAGCAGTTCAGCATGGACCCAGCCAGTGGGGAGATCCGGGTCATCCGGCACCTGGATCGGGAGGAGGTGAGGTCAAGAAACACTGAGGATCTCCACCATTCAGCCATTTTACCCCTCTTATATGTCTTGTGCTGTGTAGAAGGACACGTATTCTACTGTGCAATGTCCTATTGTCCTACTTTCTTGCTTCAAATCTTCTGTGGGATTACACGGAGGGGTGTTCTGTGTGGAGGCGAGCCCTGGATTAAGGGCGACACGTAGCTGTAACAAGAACAGCTGTCCTGATTAATTAATGACGAGCCTCAGCCCTTTTAGACACACTGAGCGCCTCCCCGGAGGGAGGCGCAGGCCCCCACAAGGGGAGAACCTTCCAGGGCCAGTCCTGGAGGCGATTGTAACGCGAGCGTTAGGCCGTCATTTCTTCTTCCATTTTCTTTTCTTTTTTTTTTCACTTGTCCGGCTGTATATCTTCCACCGGGTCAGGCTAAACTTTTCCTCCACTGTCCCTATCCAGGGCTCTGCTTGCACACTGAACACACCCCCGCATAATGACACACTTCTTTAACCTTTAGTGTCTAGTATGAAAATGAAGACTTTTTAAAATGTTAATGGTCAATTTAAATATTAAGAGCATATAATCTTTTAGATTTTACAAAATACATTGCAGGTAAATTAAATGTATGTAATCAGGCTTCAGTGGGGTTTAAAACAATTTAAAACCCAGTTTCTAATTTTATCAATTTGGCACACAGACCTAACAAACTGCAGTTGCACGCTGACAGATTTGTTTTTGGTTTTATTTTTTCCCTACAGATCACCCATTATTCTCTGACAGTTCTTGCTGCAGACAGTGGAGAACCTCCACTGTCTAGTGCTGTCCAGGTGACCGTGAAGGTCTCTGATGTCAATGACAATCCTCCTGTGTTCTCCCAACTCAACCACAGCCTGGCTATTCAGGTAACAAAGAGTTATCCATTTGGTGGACACAGGCTTATACTGTCAGAATGTCAGAAGTATGTGTACATTCATAGTTTAAAGGCATACTGCAAGGATTAGTATGAAATAGCCTGAAGAAACCTTGTGATGTAGTATGGTTCCTATTTCATCTTAGTGTTCTTATTTAGCATTTAGCCACTGAGCTCAGAGATCTACAGTTTTTTTCATTAGGTGGATTTCTCTGATGTTTTAAGAGCAAGCCTTTGAAAGACCACATTTACCTCTAGCGTAATTCATTATGCATTTCAAGGGTGTTTGTCAAGACTGTGTTGCAATTAACAGGCCTCTGCTGCTTTTTGTTCCATTTACAATTCTCGAACTCAGCTTTCAACTGTGTTGATTCAGTTGGAAGAATCAGCAAAATGGTTTAATCACTGAGTCCAAATAGTAGAAATAGAATTGATTGGGGAAAACGTTGCCTGAGGAAACTGTTCTTAGTATTTTTCTTCTGAATTATGGGTTGAGTGTTTTAATTATTTAAACCTTTTCTTTGATTTCTTTTACTAGGAAACATTATTGGGTCTTAAACTGAAATGTTAAGTGGTTAATGAATTATTCAAGTTTTGGTTTCTTTATTAGGCTCTGTGCTTACAGTATGTCTTGTAAATATAGTGGTTACAATAAGCGACACAAGGTGTAAGCATTATCATCATTTTAACTTGAAAAAGAAAAATGGGTTCTAATCAACATGCAGTTCGTGAAACTGCTCAGGTTTCCTATATTACCCCAAAAAGCAATTGCAGACATTGTCAGACATCCATTTATTTTCCTTTTTCAAAGAAATGTCATTTAGCATATACCGAGGCATTTTCATATTTCTCTTATGACACAGACAGTGACTTGTAAAAAACACTTGAGACATGTAAAGCATATTTTTCTCTTCAAAGCAAAGGAAAGCAGTAGTACAGTACTGTATGTAGGTCAGGCGTTGAATTTAGGTTTTGTAGGTGTTTTTCTTCAGATTCAGTGAACAGGAGCTTCCTGGGCAAGTGTAAAACTGAACAGAAACACAACAGAAAGTTATCAGCATATAACCTATTAGGTAATTACAAAATATTACAGAAAAGGGGGGTCTCTTTACAATTATCCCACAAGTGACATATAAAAGTTAATGTTTAGCTATGGTCAGCAGTGAGGAGTTGTGGTCATGGTACTGGGCTAAATGAAAGGTTACAGTATGCTGACTCTGCTGTTGTTTCATTTAGGTCGTTTTTTTTCCACATGAATTATTCCCATAAAATGCCCAGCTGTATAAATGGGTACAAATATAGGTTGCTTCAAATAAAAGTGTCAGCCAAAAAATTAATTAGTGATTACAACAGAACAACACTGTAATTTCACAAAAATAAGAGGCAGAACTTATCAGACCCTAGAATGTGCTTGAAGAGAAAAGGTTGAACGTTACATTTGCAATTTTTTACTAAAGTACTTAACTGTTAATTGGCAGGAAGGTGATCCAGTTGGCAGCAGCATTTTGCAACTAGTGGTGACTGACAGAGACACACAGCAAAACGGGCCTCCATTCTCCTTTCGAATTGTGTCTGGGAATGAAGGAAAGCATTTTCAAGTTGACCAAGGTGGACGGGTCTCAACTGCTAGTATCCTGAGGAAGAAACTTCGAGAGATGTACCTCCTGGAAGTTCAGGTAAGAAAGTGGCATGGGAAGAGAAACCTTTTTTTCCACTCTTCCACTTCATTATATTAAAAACTGTAAATCAGCTGAATCAAATAGAAAGTTCTGTATTTATTTCTCATGGTTATATTGAATGTTTTAGATAAGAGTTCATTTTAATAAGTAAATTATACTGAGTTGTCATTAATCTCTATCTTTTGTGCCTTCTAAAGTTAATATGTCATTAAGATTTATATCAATATTTAATTCAATTTATTATACTGAATATTATATTCCAATTCTATATTGAAATTCCCATGAAAATATTTCTAAAAACACTTGCATAAATTCCACAATCTAAAGAATGTTTTCTAGAATTAACCATTGCAAACTTCAAAAGGTGCATGTGAATGCCAAGTAAATGGCATGCTTATCACATGTCAAAAACTAGCAATTTATTAAAAGCCACACTGTGATTCATTCTCTGCACTTCTCATGCATGATAGCCTGGATCCTGGAGAATCAATGAATAAATAAGCAGAATTCTCAGAAGGATAAATTAGGGTGGAAATGGTGTTTTAAATGCTAGGTAGGAAAACAAAAAAGTATTTTTTCAATTTCTTTTGGAGATGTGTGTTTTCCAAAAGCAATCACTATCTGTAATCAAAAATATTTTAACTGTCAACAAGGAAGAACTCATACTTACACAGTCTTTTACTATTTCTAACACCGGAGTGGACATATTAGCATATTACTTACTTTCTTTTGTTTTCAGTAAAGTTAGTACTGTTTTGGCTTTTCTACCTTTGTTATGTCATACCTCACAATTAGAACTAAAAATTACCGCCTTATTGTTTATGTAAACAACGAAAATTAACTCAGTTAATCCTTCAGTTATGCGTATAAACGTATATGTGAGTTTCAATTGTAACTCGATTTTCCTTGTACCTCCGCAGGTGACAGACAGTGGCTACCCTCCACTTTCCTCTACATGTCTGATAAAACTTAGCGTCACTGAACAGAGCAAATACCCTCCCTCTGCTGTGCCGCTGGAGGTCTTTATAACCACAGTGGACAAGGTATTTGTGGGCAGTGTTATTGGAAACATCCACGCAGCTGACCGAGATCTCCATGATGTCCTCTCCTATAAATTGATTTCAGAATCGGCAATCAAGAAGCGCTTTGAGGTCGACACTGCGAATGGAAAAATCACAGTAAAAGATGTCTTGGAACCGGGACAGTACATACTGAATGTGACCATCTCTGATGGGAAGTTCACTACCCGGACTGCAGTTCAAGTTCATGTCTGGGGTGCCACTCAGCAGGTCCTGGATCAGGGGATCACACTCCGCCTCGATCAGATGACGCCAGAGGCGTTTATTAGAGACCACTGGTGGAACCTGCAGCACTTTCTGGGGGACATGTTCAACATTCAAAGCAAGAGGATCCACGTTGCCAGTCTCCAGCATGATCAAAACTCTGAATTCCTGGACTTGCTCCTGGTCTGGAGACAGCATGGTAGCTTGTCACCCTTGTCCAGAGAGAAGCTCTCGAGTATAGTCCAAGGCATTAAGGATTCTCTCGGTATCAGTATAATGGAGGTCAATCATGGTTCTTGCATGGAACCTGGGTGCCCATCACGAGATTGTAAGTCCACTGTCCGCATGTCTAAGGAGACCAACTCGACCTACACGACAGAAAGCACAAGCTTCATAACCCCTCAGCACTCATGGGAGATAGTGTGCTCATGTAATGGTATGGGAATTTTTTTTTTGTGCAATCCCAGTTTACCTGCAGGATGATAGACATATTGAGGAAAGGGAGCATGTGTACTGTACTTTAAAAAAAAATGTTTTCACAATATCAGCTGCCACAATTTGGTAGTTCCAACTACAAATACAGGAAATGGCAAATAATAGACGTAAAGGTCTTTTGACTTTGACTTGTTGTTTAATGTTATATGTAAAATTGAGTGGGGATTTTGTGTTTCTATCAGCATCTTTGGGTGTTAGCAAAGTGTTTATTATTCATTGTTTATTATCACACATCGTTACTAAAATTTTGAAATCATGATTTATAACTTGTTGTTGTAGGAGTACAAGTAACGATCATAGCACTTGAATATTTCCAGGGACTTTTGTATCCTGAAGTAGTAAATTAAGATACTCTGTGACTGAGCAATTACCCTAAGTGGAGATGAGGTCACATTCCAGATACTAATATAGAAAAAGGCAAAAAACAGTTAAATGCTACATATAGAAAGGAATCAGAGTGCAGAATGTAAAACATTAAGCTCATAGTACCAGATATAATAGTATAAATCGTAATGACTTGATAGACTTGTTTCAAAGGTGACGTTGCCACTGTTACAACTCCTAGAGTCCATTAAACCATTGATCGTAATTGTACTAGTTAACTTCAAGTACAGTAGTGTTATTTCCGGGGTGGCTTCTAGCATTGTTTAAGTTGCACATTCATGTTTCTCTATGTAAAAAAATAACAAATCAAATGATGTTTCATGTTCTGTGTCTCAGAATCAGCAATTATGTTCAATGGAAACAGCTTCCTTAAATACCATTACCACGAGGATGCTGAGAATAGTAAGCTGAAGCTGACTCTTCGTATCAAAACCTATCAGCAGCACGGGCTTGTCATGACAACCAATGGAACGCATGTAGGATCATTGGAGGTAATAATCTTTCTTAATCATTTATCTTGATCATTGATCATTGATTTCTTGATGTTTCTTTCTGATGTTCCATGTCTAAAATAATACTAACAAATAATTTTATAAATAACATGAAACAATTCTTTTCCTCATTTAATTTCCTTTACCAAAGACAGACTGCCCTCAATGACATAGTTGAAAACTGATTGATAGATAGATGAGACTTTATTGATCCCGAAGAGGAAACTGATGAATTAATAACATAAAGTAATCACCTTAATGACATAATTTTATCATGTTTTCTTCGTCAGGGTTATAAAAATCAAAATCACTATGCACCTTTTAATCCACTATTCCACCTTTCTTCTTTTCCAAGTTTAAAAAAAATCAGTGTACAAATACAACATGTTTTGCAACATCAATTTCTTATAACCTGTCTGCTGCATTAATCATCACTTTTTCTTATTTATCTTGTGATTGAATAAATTTTTTCTCCACAAATTCTTCTTTCCTATGCATTCAGGTTAAACACTTTTGTGAATCATCTTGTTCCAGGCTTGAAGTTGGATAAGATTTTCCCATAGTTTGATCCTTGGGATTTTATTTTATAATCTGACATGACATCTACAAAGTTTCTATCATGTTCTCAGTGTGTGGGCATCCCATAAAGCCACTACCCACTTAAAACTACTCATGCTTTTCTTGTGAAATTTTAACTTAGGTTGTTTCATCTTTTCACCACACCTAAATACTCTGACAGCTTTAGATAGAAAACCATAGTAACCTGCAATTTAAACAAGGAAAAAAACGTGTTTTTGTTGGAAAACCTGAAAACTGGATACCTATAAGTTTAGCATGTAATATCATGCTCAGGAGATGAGTAAGAGCACATAATTGTTTGTTTATGTATGTAGTGTTGTGTAAAATGTTTCACTGAGGAGTTTCTTAAATCAGGGTAAAGTGACTTCCAATATTTCAGTCACAAATTAATCTCGGTAAGTACGCATGAACTACTTTCAGCTGATGAAATGCATGTGCTTTCACAATACAATGATCCTGAGTTCATGCTCTCTTGAAAAGATGAACAGGCTTTTGTTAGCAAGGTACTGTATGCAGCTGTGAAAATCTATGGTGGGAGGTGTCATTTGCAGGTAGTATCTAATAGGTAATATTGATTCATATCATCCTTTTTCAATGTAGAAAAGAAAAGACGTGGTTAGAGTCTATTTGGTTTAAGTGCCTGGTCTTTCAACAGAAACTTCAAAGGCATCAGTATAGTAGGTTTTTGTTCATTAGATTCAGTTTGCCATTTGTCATCAGTGTGCTTAAGCACTTCTTGTACTGTAGTCTTATCTTAGAATGGGAGAGCATGTCAGGGTTTCCTTTCTCTGACATCTGTGGTGCTTCACTGCCAGCGATATCTGGTACAGTATCAGTGGTATGGTATCAAAGAAGGGCCACGGTCCAAGACACCCCATTCACAACACCTCGCTGAGGTGGCCAAAGAAGGGGTGTTGTCCAAGTGTGACTGTATGCTCAGTATGCACTCAGTACACACAAATATATTAGACATATAGGTCAGAGTGGAGAGCTGTCAGTATGCAAGCTGCAAAAGAACAAATGGAGTATAATTCCACCTGAAAAGACAAAAAAAAACTCTTTGGCTGTGAAGCCCTCTTCACACCTGATTTTATAGATATACAGTACTGTGCATCAGAATGTGTAAATGTGTGTGGGTGTTTTATATCCTTAATAAGAGAAACTGCCACCTGAGCTTATATTACACGACAATTATACTGTTTATCAGCTGCCTAAGCCTGAGGGCAAACAATTATTGTCCCTGCTTCAACAAGCTTTCCTCATTTTTAGAAGATGCTTTCTCCAACACAGAAAACAGTAGTAAATACTGCTGTTCCTTTTCCAAAAGGGCTACTGTATTTATTTTGTATTTAAACTATTGATGCTATGAAAGAGGTGCAGCATTGTTTTTATCTGTTCTAGATTTGGAAAAAGATACAATATTGCTTGGTGTGGATATATTTGGAAGGATTGCAAGGTTATTCATGATGTGTGTAAAATGCTTGATAAGAGGAATTATTGCTCATCAACATATTGGTAATCAGTACTGGTAATCATACTGTTTGCCTATAGATACTTCTATTATCATGATATTATTCCTTTAATTATGAAAATCAATTAATGTTTTTTTATTTGTTAGAACAAATAGTAATGGCAATGCATGTTCAACAGATTTTACGATAAGTTATTTTAGGGATATGTCAGGATAAAGGAACCAGCTCAAATTCATTTGGTTTGCAGCAGATGACATACTGTATTACTCAAGAATAAGATGTTATACTCTATATAAGATGTTCATACATTTTAGAAAAGATCATAAACTACCAAAAATGGGGAAGAAACAGTCTTAAGAGCAGGAATTTATTTTCAATTTTGTTCATCTATTCTTTCGCTGTGATTTTACGTCTGGTGAAAGTTTAGTATAGTTACACTTTTTTGTAGTTTGCGGTTAGAAAAATTAGTTTTAGTATTTCAGAATCTGTGTACTTGGGGAAATGTCAAACTAATCAAATACAAGGCATTCAAAGCAAAATCCTTGACTTTTGCAGGCTGTGCGTTAAGGTCTTTCGTGTTCAAACTGATTGACCCTTTTAAAAACATTTTAAAGGAAATTCTTAAGCAGGACATGTATTTATGAACACTTGACAATATGTTTCTTGTTCTCTTAGTGTCCTTAACTTTGTGGATAAAAAATCAATTTGACAAAATAGCTCTTGAAATGATTGTTTCATTGTCCCTTACAATCTCCCGTTAAGTCATGTACATTACAATGAACTCTGAAGAGGGCTGATTTACTGTGTGGGCTTCTTCCTGCCTCCATGAAGGTTATCTGTGACATGGAGACTGGGCACATTCCTTAGTATGTCAAAGAGCATAATTGTCCCAGGAACAGAAGCAAAGAATGTAAGAAAGTGCTGTATCTATGAAGAAATCCTATAATACACCATTTATAAAAGGTACCATCTGAAATCTAGTCATTAAAGGGGAACATGGATGCTGAAGAAGATGCGTTCCATAACAATGAGAGATATTTACACTGCAATTTACATCTCAGGGAGTGACAGATGTATAACTCTTATATAATATACGTCTCTGTGGAGCTTGTCCTTTTCTAAACAGATGGAATCTTTGGTCATTGTGTAAAGGATAAAACAAAACAATCCATTTCCTTTTAATGGCACTAACAGCTGGCATCATATCCACTTAGCTAAGGTTATCTGTGGCCAATATATTTGTATTTCCATAATGCCATAGTAGGCCTTTGGAAATTGTTTTCCTTATCAACTCGTGAGATAAAAATGCCCTAAATCCCCAAAATTTTCACAATGCCAAAAATGTTAACAGTTTTCAAATCTAATATTTTACATGTTCAGCCCATATTGCTTACAAATAATGAAGTGGAGTAATGTGAGGATAACATGGAACACTTGCACTCTTAAGTAATAAGTATTAAATATTTGCAGGAGGGGATGTCTGCCAATTTCATGTTCATACTATTTAAAGCAGATGTACTGTATGTACATCAGATGGCTCCCTTCTTTCTGTAGAGGATGTTCTAAGACAATCTTAAGAGATCAGTAAGTCAACTGCAGATCAAAACACATCAGTATGTCCCTGCAGCTTAATTTCCCAGCCATGCCTTGTCGTTAAAGCTGTTGTCTTGATGAGGGTCACAACAGAGTAAATCACAGAGCTCAGACTGTGTCTGAGGACACCCCTGAACGGGATACCCATCTAACGGGGCACAGAGGGAATACCTTATTTCGGAAAACTAGACAAACCCAATCAGAATGTCTTTGGAAGGTGGGAGGAAAGCACTTAATTAATCTTCCTGAACATGGAGAGAGCATGCAAATGCAACCTGCCACATTCCTGTGTTCCCCCTGCTTTTCCTTCCCTTACATAATTCTCAGAAGGCTTTTATAGCAATATATATATATATTGAAATTTCCACAAACTCATGAAATATAAGTAGAAATAGAAATACAGTCATTGGCAAAAATTAACTTTAAAATCAAAATCTGAAAAGTAAACACTATAAGTCATGTTCTAATATAAATACGAATTATTTTATAGACTCATATCTTAAATAAATCTATTTGGTTGATGTTAAAATGTTATTTTAATAATAATTATAATGGACTATTTTTAACAAAAACATAACATTGTTAAAAAATGAAATCATTAATAGCATGATTTGAATACATATTTGTCTATGAGGTCAGAACATGTATTCTTTAATCAAATGGAATATTATGTCCTACACAATAGCTGAAAAAAGCTGTACTTTAATAGTAATTGTTTATCATATATTATCTTAAGATAATTGTTAGTAATTAATTATTCCAGTGTATTGGTATTTCATTTGTAAGTTTAAGCACATGTGTTACAAAAACATCATCTAGGATAAGCCTGGGAGCATGTCAAAGCAAAAACAAAAATTTTATTATTATTTAAACACAAAGACTTGAAACAGCAATTACCTGAAATCACATACTAGTCTGACAAGTGTGTAATGACATGGTGTTGATCTCTTCTGCTTATTCTGTCAGTGAAACTGCATTAGTAACGTCTGCCTGAACGTCCATTTTAAACAGAAACAGTCTGATGCAATAGGCTCAAGTCAAGTCCAGTTCAAAAGGACCAGAATGTTGAGTAAACCTTCAAATTCACCAAACAGATAGCACTAAAAAATGATGTCAATATTCTTTTAGTTTTATACTTGCTTCTTAACATCTATTTTTAAAGCTTAACACAGTCGCAGGGCACTTACAATAGCAATGGCCTGCTGTCTAGGTTGTTAGGTGTCCCTGAATCATCACAGGAGTGAGCCCTGTTATGGACTGACACCTCATCTAGGATGTTTTCTGCCTTGCGACCATTGTCCACTGGGTTAGATTAAGGTTGACTGTGGCTCTGTGGTGGGTATTGAAAAAGGATTGAAGGAAACTTATCTCAAAGGCCTACCTCAGGACTGATACAAAGTACAGATCTGAATCATTTAAATAGCACCACCTTTGCCGTTCAATCAATTAATAGTTGTCCATGGATCTACAGTGTTTATGTTATGTACATGTATACACATATACTTTGTATCCACTCATTTCTTTCTTAAAGCATATATATTAAATCCACACACACACAAAAATATATTTATATATATTTGTTCCTGCAGATTGTTGACAAGGAGCTCAAATTTAAGTACAGCTGTGGGAATGGCCTTCCCGGAGCTCTGGGTGTGAGGAACGTCCCCATTTCAGATGGCCGCTGGCACCAGGTCCTTCTGGAGGTGAACAGCACTGTGCTGCGGGTAACTCTGGACAAGCTGCACTCCTCAGCCATCACACTGTCTGAGCCCTGCAGCCTGCTCCGGGGCAAGAGCCCACTGGTCTTCGGCGGGCCAGTCCTGCCCGCCCCAGTGGACACACCTGCCCGGGGGTTCAAGGGCTGCCTGGACGCCCTGGAGCTCAACGGAGAAGCCATAAGGACAGGTGTGGGAGGTGATGCCCTCATGGGCGGAGTAAGAAGGGTGACTGGAATCTATCAGTGCTGCTCCCCGACAGAAAGCTGTTCCTTTGAACCGTGTCAGAATGGAGGAACCTGCACGACTCAATCTAATGGAGGTGAGACAGTGAGATGAGTATACCTGGACGTTTAACTGTTAGTATGTCCTCTGTAGAAAATCCACACTTTCGGTCAGGTTTGTTTGTGAGAAAGGCGCAGTGAGTTAATTATGCATGCGTACAGGAATTGCTCACTCACAAAAAACGTAGTCAATTCAAAGTACAAGCCGGGACTTTCCCATTTAACTAGTCAAGCAGTTACACAAAAACAAGAACAGAGGAGGAAACATTTCCTGAGGAGTGATACCGCCCCAAGGGAGTAGTTAACATGTTTGTGCGATAAGGCATTAAGGCAAAGATATCACTGAACAAAGACAGCTTATTTACAACCCCAGATATCCACTCCCCACTAGTCCTTGAGCATTATTTTTAAGTCCAGCACAATTTCAGCTCCGCAAATCCTCTTTGACAACTTCTGTTACTCCTCAAGCACTTTCTCTACTAATAGAGAAGCTATTAGCTCCAAGATGCTTTTAACCCTTTCCATCACCTTACATAGGACACATTCCCATTTTTGAATGGCTAACTGTACTATATCATACTATACTATACTTTTTACTTTTCAACATCTATATTTTTGCTGCTGTTGCTTGCAAAATGCTGTAATTATACACTGGCATTTACATCTAAAGAGGCTGTGTTAATCTGCTTATTATAACTGTCCAAAAACTGTCTGTGGTTAGCAATTTAAAATATGTTCTTCACTTTTTAGAACTAATATCACAGCACTGACACATAAATACATTTAAGTAATAGGATATTTTTCAGTAAACGTGAGTGTCCATAACATCTTTTTGGTCAAAGGCTAAAAAGTTATATCTCTCCTGCTGCAACTTAATTAAGTCATTTGAGGCCACTTTCAGTTTACTGTTAATCCACGCACACAAGCACATAACTAAACCAGCTATTACTTGACAACTTTTAACTTTTAATACAGGGTAATACAGCCCACAGCCACAGGTGTCATGCTCTACTGAAACAACTATCTTAGTTGCAAATTTGTGTTTTTTTGAGTCCAGCAAAAATATAATAATGAAAATATACCAATCCTAACCGTATTATCGTAAGAACAAAGTCACTTGTAGCACAACTGGAAGGTGGGGTGAGCTAGAATACATTTAACAGTCCTATTTTTAAGTTAAAAGTGAAAAGATTGTTTGTTTCCACCTTTTCGTGGTATAACAGATTTATAATGTAACCAGATTGGATTATGTACTGCTCTGACAAACCATTCAAATGCTTCTAAGAAAACTACTTCCCATGTAACTCCTTTCTGTAGTCTCTAGAAAAACGAAATTGTTCTCTTGGGTCATTAATGCTGCTAGTAAGTGAGAATTCAAAGCCATGCCTCAGGTATAAGGAAATGTTAATCAACTGGGAAAAGATGGCAAACTGTGACTCATACCAAGTGTAAACAGCATTTTAAAGTCAAATATGGAAGACACACTGCTTTGATGTTTCTTCTCTTTTTTTGTTTGCGTTTCAAGAGTTCCAGTGTAGCTGCCCTCCACAGTACTTTGGCTCTCGTTGCGAGGCAGATAATGATCCCTGTCAGTCTCAGCCATGCGCAAATGGAGGTGTCTGTGTGGCGGAAGGTCAAGGTTACATCTGCCACTGCCCAGAGCAAAACACAGGAAGCAGGTGGGACACGTATAAGTTTGCATTTAAAAACAATCCCCAATTCTGCTTAATTATGCTGTAGGATGCTGTGCAGAGATGGTGCTGTCTCACCAGTCCAACTCGTTTAACCTTTGAAAATGCATTTTAAAAGGCATTTATATAGATGAAAGGGTAACATTTTATTTCATTTGAGAAAGTGCACTTATCAGGAGAAAGTAGTTTTTTTTCTTCCACCCCAGTGTTTATTTATAATTCCGCCTTTTCCATATTAAATTGATACTGTTAATATGCTTGTTTTATTTGAGTGTCACTTCTAAATTGTCAGAAGTTGACACTTCTTGTTGGGTTAATTGGAGAGTTTGCTTTTGCTACCAAGTACCAGCAGTTCTTTTTTAGCTGGATTTTCAAATGTTTTACTTACAAAAGAAGGATAGCGACTGGTCATTTTACACAGAGAAAAATATTTTCTAATTTGTTTGCATAGCTATAGGAACGGAGTTTAGTAATTACTGTATTATAACTCATAATTTCACTCTTTTTATTTAACTTAATTATCATGAAACTTGAGATGGTCAGACACATAACAACAGTACAAATCCTTTTTCTGGAAGGTTAATTGTCCTGGTTTTAGAGGCTCTGTAGTGATTATTTTATTTTCTGCCAGCTATTTTAGTCTACATCAACATGAATGTCTTGAATAACGGTGGATTCCACGTGCAGTGAAAGAAAAATTATTTTGAAAATGTCACATGAAGAGGCTCATTTCAGAATTTGCTTTAGAAATGTAATTTTATTCACTTCTTAAGAACTGTCATACTGCACAAAATCTAAGATGTAGATACTAAAAGACACCAAACCAACCATCTTTATTTGTTGGTTTATTTACAGGTGTGAAAGTCACATTGATGTGTGCTCTCCAAATCCGTGCGAGGCAGGTTTTGAATGTAAGGTATCTGCAGGCGAGCCGCCAAGGCACGAATGTGTGAATTCCCTGCCAGTGATATCCGACAGACTGGGAGTGAGAGAAATTATTGAAATCTGTGCTGCCTTGTTGGGGGTCCTCCTGCTGGTTGGAGCTTTCATCTTCCTACGCAAGCGCTACCTCCAGAGGAGGAAGCACAAGCCCATAAGCACGCAGAATTCAAACGGTTACTTCCACCCGAAAGTGGCCAAGAGCCTAGTGGGAGATACCCAGGAGGTGCCTCCGATTGAAATGAACATAATGGCTGAGCCCCGCAATAACCTTGACCAAGACAACCCGCTGAAAACCCGTGGCCAAAATGAATTCAGCACAGTTGGCGGGGGTCCGAATCAGAAAGTGAGAGGGGCTGTGGTCTGCAGTGTGGCCCCAAACCTCCCCCCACCCCCTCCTTCCAGCTCTGATAACGAATCCGTCCTGAAAAACAACTGGGAGCTGGACTATGATGGTGAGCTCACACCGTTACTAATTCCTGCATGTTTCTAGGTTTTCCCCCATGCCATTTAATTTATGTGAGAAAATGAAAAAGTCCTTGGGACTTGGTAGACAAAGTTAGAGTTTAAACTTGTACAACAATATATGACCTTCACGTTTGAGGCATAAAATCGTGAAAACATACAAATACAATTCAGAAGTAAAACATCCAACATGATATTTTTTTCACATTTCCTGTATATAGTAATGAACGCTTTTTTTGAACAGGAGTCCAAGAAAGTCAAAAGAAGAAGAATCTCAAACCTGTTTGCGACCATGTCAATGCAAAACACATAGTGTTTGTAAAAGATACATTACATACATGGTACATGGTAGAATAATTCCTTATCTTTTGTTTTCACATGGTAGTGGGCAAAAGGAAAATATTTGAATGTCTTACATAGTATTTTTAAAATGCGATTCTTATTATAAAGCTATTATTGTCCTTGGTACAATTGGGGTGGAAAACTTATATTTATAAATGTGCTATTGGCAGTAAATCAAAGATGTATAGCAACGATTTCTTACTTTCTATGTTTAAAAAACGACTGGATTGGCTCTCTTTTCCTTCGCAGTTTATCCTGGAGACAACGACTACTACTGCCCCCCATCAGCCAGGGAGTTTCCTCAGTTCGACATAGTGGAAGACTCCTACCCTGCGGTGCCCTCCATGGACCCCAGAAGGGCAGCTCGTTTCGGGGGCTTCCCCTTCCCCCTCGAGCGCTATGACCGACGGGCCCCCCTGCCCCCTTGCTACAGCAACCAGAACCTGGATGACTTTCTCGGGCCTGACGGGTTGCCCCTTCCGGCCCCCCAGTGTCTGAATGAATACACTGCCATCAGCTACTACCCTACGGAGCACGTGCAAGGTCTCGAGAACGTGTCTGGGAATGGTTACCGCAGACTGAACATGCGCCTCAGTGTGGCACAGCCCTCCTACGCAGACTGCAATACCCTGCCACACACAGGGGCTCCTCTGCGCACCCCCAGGACGTACGAGGGATCCGACATGGTAGAGAGTGACTACGGGAGCTGTGAGGAGGTCATGTTTTAACGTCCCACTGAACAGTCGCAGGCACGTGATCTGCTTGTTTAACACCCTTTCCAGGGCATGTTCAGCAGCTGGCAAGAACATGGTGTCTTCGTGCCACCTGACGCATTTCAGAACTGAGTGGAATTTTGCTTCGAGGACAAGGTAAATAAACATGGCTTTTTGGAAACGGCGAGACTGTTTTAACTCACAGTCTCGGCTGAATCGGCGGGCCAAGGAGCTGCTCACTGGCTGCTAGAACCATCAGTGCCATGGCTGTAAAGCACGTCAGTAACAAAGTATTATTCTTGCAATCAGCATGTCCCTGGAGGATTATACAGATGTCCCTTCAATTTAATGGACTCTAACAAAAATTGGGAGTTAGCTGAGGGAGGTTGAGGGCCCTGTCTGAACTGGCCCACACCCACAGACAGACAGCTGCCTTTCGGCAATTCCACAGATTTGTTTGTACATGTCTCCTTACGTAAGATGTCTGTCTTTGCTTTGCCGACGTTTCTGCTGCTCCACTTGCAGCTGGCTTCTCTATGACAGCGCATTGCTGCACTTTCTCTGCTGAGCACTGCTTTTTCTCTTCAAACAATGCAAGTTCTGCCATTGACCGTTATAAGGCAAGCGAGGGAAAACGAACAAGCAAAGAAAAACAGTGTCCTTTACTCTTAATTCCTCATCATTTCCGTGATTTTCCCAATCAAGTTGCAAAACAGCCATTCAAGAAGCCGAGAGAGAAAGACAGCACTCAATTTTATGCCTAATTTAGTGAGAAAAGTATGATTGAGGGTATACCAGACTATAGAAAAAAAACACAACTTCTTCCCTCTGCAGTACAGTACATTTATATTATGCACTTATTTCTATATTGTCTCAGACAGTTGTATTTTATTTATGTTGTCTTGTATCCTGTTGATGTGAATTGTAGAAATGCTGATATATTGCATCGCCCCAAGAAGCCACAGTATGACTGACATAATGGCTATATTTACTTTGTTACACTTAAAGCCAAAACTGTTTACTGAATATCCTTGTTTATTTCTTGGAAATTAAATTGTGTCTCAAGACTTGGTAATACATTAGGGGTAAGATTTGTTTTTTGTGCAGCTCATTATGTTTTATGATTTTTCTTTTGGTTTGTTTAGCTGGTTTTTGATACAGACCGAAAGAAAAGAAAAGTAACCCCCCCCCCACCTCAAAATAAAAAACAAAACCGGAGCCTGATATATTTTATCATGCCTGCCTGATCTGGGCTCCATTTTCACACATCTCAGGATCTTTCACATTGGTAAAATCTTTCACATCTTTCCCACAGGCCACTAAAGGAATAGAAAGTTTCTGGAATCTTACTGCCTACCATCGCACAAAGAAGCACTGGCACATATTGGACCAAACAAATAGTTCTTGTTTAGCTTCAGACCAACACCCCCACTTCAGACTGCATATAGGATCATCCATTAATCCATTACAGGCATAGGCTAATGTGAGGCCAACGTTTGCTGAAGTGAGACACAATAACTACAGTTTCATTCCTCCAATATACGGTATGATTCAGTTCGGTTACTGAAAACCATAACATGCATTGCCCTTTTGATGTATATGAATACAGTACTTAGTAATTTAGACTAGGACTATAACAAAAAATGATCAAGGCAAACTCATTTGATTAAAATATATTAAAAGTATTGTTATGTCATTTGTAAAAGAAATATATAAACTGTCTGTTTCTACATTATATTTCTAAACGTGGTAGATATACAGTCCTTTTGAGAGAAGAATTGCATGTAAAACGAAGAACAGAGGCTGGCACCTCTTAAGAAAACCTCTCCAAACATTGCAGCAGTGATCAAATGTTTTCTGACTGCCATGGGTCCTTAGTCCATTGTTTTTAAAAGTGTAGAATTTCTTTTGCTGCTAAAATTCAGATGGACTTGTGTAAAGAAACACTACATAAAGCCAAGTGAACAGAACTCTCAGTGAGGAGCTGGCTGTGAATGCAAAAAAAGGTGTAAAAGTATTTTGGAAATGGCATGAAAATTGGGTTTCTGTGGTTATTTAAGACTGGAATATTAGTTTTTATAGACTGTTTCACATGTATCAATTAATGTGAAACCGTGGGCAAAATGAACAAGAATGTCTGATGATCTTTTAACGCACTGAGTGAAAGGACATTTGAATTTTGCGCATGCAGATGCCCTCTGAGAAAGGCCTACGCTGCCAAACAGGTATTCACCTAAGATAAGATCACTTTATTGCAACCGGCAACCTTCCAGCCATGGGTGCAGATCCACTGTATCACCCAGCCACTACACTGCCCGATTGATGCACTTTTGTTAGCATCAATCAAATGACCGACAAAGCAAAATCCCCCAAACCAACAACAAACACAAAACAGATTTTCACAATGGGCATAATAAAGACTATGCTAAAACAATATGTCCCACCATTCACTTGGCCCAATTCTCAGCAGTCACATTCTTCAGTGTTAGTATAACAGACCACGTACAATTGTGTATCCTTCCTAAGCCATGAAAACTGTTCTTTTCATGGCCTGTAAATGTGCAGTAGGATAAATGGTCAACTTTGTTAAATAGATACGGTCAGTCCTTACCGTTGTGGAATTGGGAATGCTAGATTTATAATTTATTGCATGTATGAAAGGATATACATAAGTATATTTGTGTTTTATCTGAAAGGCTTGCTGCTTTGAGGGTGGAATTCAGTTTAGACAGGGGTGTTGGGGGCAAATTAATGATTTTCTTAACAGCTCTAGGAGGTAAATGTCTGTAACTGCAGGTGATAGTGATTTGCCGTTTTTTTCTGTGTTCTACAGTGTAAAGAAACTACATAAAGCCATTGTTAAAGATGTACGCAGTTGTCCAGTGAGTTGTTCTGAACGAAACTTGTTTAAAATGTATTTGTATCTTAAAATGGGGTTACCCATATTTTAAGAAAAAAAGTTGTTTCTCTGTGAGAGAATTGTATCATTTTTTGTTAAAAATAATGAATAAACTTGTTTTATTTTATTACACAGAAGAATTCAGTGGCTTTTGTTAAAAAAATAGACTTTTTTATATAAATAAATATAAATAATATATATATATAAATAAGTAAAAATGTATTTATATGAATTTTATTGGAGTTTATTCTGGGGATTAATGATAATTTATTTAGTCCAAAAGACAGAATCAAACCACGGCCAAAAAGGAAACAAAACATTGGTCATTTCCATCCAAAAGAATTACAGAACTTAAAGTGAGCAACTTGCACTTTATAATAGAGTCCACCAGAGGGCGACAAAATAACTATGCACTTCAGAAAAATGAAGATTCTAATAGATACGATACGATTACAAAATCTTACTTTTTAACACTGATTACAAAAATATTATGCTTTACAAATAAATCTGAAAGCTTGGAGGAATTAAGTTAACTTTTATAAACTGCCTAATTGACTTTTGTCAATTTTTTAACGTTAATAAAAATAATATTGAAAATATTCATACATGCAATTATATATTGTATTTAGATTTTTAGAATATTAAAGAAGATGATTTGCTTTACACCTTTGAATTTGGTATTATTTTGCTAAACAGTACTAACCGATAATCTTTTTTTTACTCAAAATATAATAACAGTCATAAATTATTCTACATTTTCCCTATAGAAATGTACCCCATTCTATTAAGCATTAATATATCTTCATACTTTCATACTTTCAGAGGCTTTTGTCTTTGTTTTGAGAGGAAACAACACAGATAATTATTAATTGTAAAAAAAAAAACATTTTAAAACAAAGGCAACAACCTAGTACCACAAACACCAATAGACTCTGAGTCACTGACTCAGAGAAAAAAAGTCATTGTTCATCACATAGAGTTATAGAAACTCTGTCCAAGGTGGACTCACTCCCTTCACTACACTGATTCTGAATCTATCAAATCAAACAGTAAAAAACAAAATTCCAATATGGTAATTACCATCTTATTACATTTTTATTTAACATGGGCTTAAATCCAAATACAATCTGAAATTGTATTTTTCATATTTTTGTTTCACATTTAAGAGAACTATTTCGTATCATTTGAAAACTCGGCTCTTGCAAAGGAAGGGGAAAAGCTGTACACTATTTTCCATACATAGTTAATACTTTGCCTTTCCCTATAACAAGGACGTTTTTGCTTTGCTTATGTGTTTTTGTTTCAGGCAAAATGATAACCTTAAAGTGCCAAAAGACCGTGAAACTAAAACAATGGTAGAATACATCTTTAACAAGAACATGTTCTAGGAATGATTCGAAGTCTCTAGAAAGGGAGTAACTGGGTCACCATTTCTTTAGGAAAAACCAAGAGATGTTATGTTTCTTTCATGTGCCTCCGCAACTCGTGAAGATCTTGTGCTTTTAACGTTCCTGCCGGGACTTTGAACAAAGCTTTTTGTGTCCCTGATAGAAGAGCTAAAAGATGTCGAACCAAAAGTAGCTTTTTCAGTGTTTCAGGAATTTTTATATTGACAAATGAAACACACTTCCTGGTTCTTTGCCAGCCTGTGGTACAAGCCTTAAAGTCTTGCTGTTCCAACTTCTGGAATAAAGATGCTTTTCCACTGGAATAAAGAAATACATGTACGTCTTTAACCGATCAGTGATGAGCACAAGCATTCACAAGCACCTAATGCAAATACAGTCCTCCTTTGCTCCTGCAGTTAGTGGTTGTGCTGGCATGTGCTTCAGCAAATGTTTGATTCTTAAAACATCTGTAACACTTGGTTCAATTAGTCAATTAAGAACCATCACGTGTTGGCTACATCAAGTAATAAAATAACTATTTTATTATTACTTAAAAAAATATTACTCGTTTACTTCTACTGCAGTATTTCTGATTCAGAGAAACACTTCTACCATCTGCAATCTATATTGATATCCCTTAAATCCAAGCACATCTGTACTTTTCTCTTACAAAAGGGTCCAAATTTATTAAATCCCAAGACCTGGAGCTTTACAGATTTGCCATTAGTAAAACAGTTTTCATAGTCTTTTTCCAGATCCATGTAAGATATTGATTGTGGTGTTTCTGTTGTACTCTGCTTCTCAAAAATATTTTTTTGCAGTTACAAATTATAGTTTTAGTTATACTTATTCTTGCTGCCTATCAAATTTTACATGGTCTAACTTTCTGACACTTGCTTTTCCTATTTAAATGACAACTAATTGGATAATAAATGCTGGATGTCCACAATTGCTTTTCCATTTTAAAACCATTCTTCGTCGAGGAGAACCATGAAATTGTTTCTGCTTGTGCATGTTATTAGTTTATTAGCACTGCAAATGTAATTTATCCTACAACAAACTATAATTCTATTTATGTTCTTTCGTTTGTGTAACGGAACAGTTCTTTTTTTTAGACCCTATGTGGACAACACAATCTGGGATTGAGTGAGAAACACAGGGGGAAAAGCCATTTTGCCTCTGAGAACGAGTTTAATCATATGTTTATGGAAGCCTCCTGGGATCATTATCAGCACCACATAAAGTCTTAGGTGTGATCTCTATCACAGATTTCTGCTTTGCCTGTATTACTGCCTGCACAACAGGACACTACCTTGTCATCAGATCAGATAACTGCTTTTCCCATGGCAATGTCCCAACCCATTGTATCAAACACAATTTAATTTAATGTTGCAATTTCTTCATAGTCATCCAAAGATTCCAGCAAACATTAGCAATAATCCAAGTTTAACAGCTTGATCATTTCATTTGCTTATTTTCATTCTCTTACTCTTTATAAATTCTGCTTATTAAATCCATATCATTATCTGAAGAAGGATGAAATGCAATGAATTAGGTCATATTTATTCAAAATACTCATTTGAAAGTTGTTGTTCTAAGATCAACAGGGACAAGGTGCTGAAGAACAAGTTGGGAACTATAAACAATAAGAATGTTCCCTGGTATTTTAACGATATGCAGATGTACTGAATAAGAGAATTTGTTTCGTGCCAGGCCCCTATTATTTTGGTGCTATCCTTAATGCCTGCTTTGACGTCACCAAAATGATTCTTTCTCTATAGAGATTACCGCCAAATGGCTTTTTACGCATCTGGTCTGACAGCCTGATAGGACATACGATTTGAAATACCCACATAAATTAAAATGCATCTCATAGTATTTAGTTTTGGAATTTACTGTCTTTCTGCATTTTCTGCTTGAGTGAACTCAGTATTAAAGCAGAAGCTGCCCTTCCTAATGTTAACATTTAATTGCAGTTTCCATTTCAAGGTCCAAACTAAAAAAAAACATTTATTGTAACTGTATGTTCAGCTACTGTTGTCTTACTGTATATGAGCCATCAGGTAGTCTAGAATGAAACACACACATATCAAGGCAACAAAGTTTTCCTATCATCCCAAAGAAAAATGTTACTTGGTTACTTACCAGGTTGGATGTCTCTCTTATACTTCAGGTGGTCAACCTGAAGGTGCAGTCATTGTAATTTAAAAGAGTCAGATTTAACAGAGATTAAGAGATTTTGATGAAAAAACAAGTGAAAATCACTTGTGAATGGTATGAAACCATTTCTCTCCTGCTAACAAGCCATGTTGCCATAGTAACTTTTAACAACTCTATCTTGAGCCTTTTACTGTCCAGTGTCAAGACCAGAATTGAAAAAAATACAATCGTCTACAATATCTCAGAATAACTAAATGGACAGACACTGCTTTGGGATGCAACTACTCCTCACATCCTTGGTATCCATTCTTAAGTAATTTTAAATAAAGCAATCCGTATTTTTCTAAAACAATACGGTGGCCACCAATTCTGTGTTGAGGGCATTCTGTTCTCTCACATGTAAACAGTAGATCCATCAAAATAATAGCTTGTCATTTACCAAACTATCAAAGGCGGAATTATTCCCTAGTAACATATGATTTTGTTGTGGATGATTGGGTCATTATTGATTTTATGAACTTCTGATTTCAAAGAAATTATTAATACGTGACAGCATCCAATGGGACCAATGAGAGTTCAATAGGCAGCAGGTGACTCCTGTGTAATTATAACACAGCATGATGGAAAATAAATAGACTTAGATTTTCAGATAGTAAACATACATTTCAGCTTTACAATATGCTGGTGTTAGCCCTTGAGGTGACAAATTACAAAATATTAATACACTTAATAAGTCATATTTTCTCACCAAACCACCCCATATTGCCCTATCACTGATATCACTTCACAAACATCACAATCATCTTGGTGAGAACTACAGTAGCATTTCCAGTCATTATTCAGTTATTTCAAATACATGAAAATGTATTTTGTTTTCTCTGCTTGCATAAAAACAAACCGTGTATTATGTAGTCTGAGCCAGCAGTCCTGTATGTGAGCTTGCAGTTGACACAAGTATGAGAATCTCATTGATGCCAACCTGCTCATATCTGTTTGATAGACCTGTCAGCAACTTGGCTACATGTTTAGGCTGTAAAACAGCTGATCTATACTACATTGCAGAAAAAGACAAATATTAAGTGTTGCTTTATAAGCAGTTCTGCTAGAGGAAAATTCCACAAGAAAGCAATACCATGCCAGCATCTCAGAAAATAAAAATCACAAAAGGGTTTATATGAAGACGACAGCAGTTATGGAGTAGAAAATCAGAGCCTTTAACTGGTTCTGCATCATTAATACCATTTGTTTTCCACTCAGTGGGGAACATATTATGAAAGGTACTAGACACAGTTTGAAAAAGCATCATTAAAGACAGAAAGCGGCTTCTTAGCGTTTTAATTCATTTCAAACAATCAGAGCACTAATATACATAGGTTCTCGTGTCACTGAAGAAAGAAACGGTTTTAGGGGATAAATTATACAACACAAAGTACTGCAATTTCACAGCTTTTCCAAAATTGACCACTTCTTACTGTTAATAATGTAATGTCCTTTGCATCCATTATGACTGAAGACACTTACTGTCCATCAATACTATTGTTATTCCAGATATTTATTTGATTATACTTTCATTTCAATTAAGAAAAGACAGTGATTTCTTCACCTTTGATATAAGGTTTGTCAAAACCAATGACTGAAGTTATTGATGAGCTATTGTTGCATCAGACAATTAATAGAATGATAAAATAAGCAGATAGACTGAAATAAACGTTTCTCTCAATAAAGATCGAGGCATATTTTGACAACCATCTGTGTGGATGATAACACCACCAAGAAAATACAAGACATATTCAGTCTTAAATCCAATTCAGTTCTGGAGACTTTTTCTGCAGGTATTCCATCTGTCAAATGTCATTTTAAGACAGACTTTTAGACACGGCATTTAATTTTGTTTGTGTGTACTGATGTTTCAATGAATGCAAACGAAAAATACATTTTAATTCAAGAGATGCTGACCTGTCTTGTACCATTTCACTGGGGAGTGTACAGAGGCTTTGAATCTTGATCATCCAAGTGGGTCCTTTTGTAAGCAAAAATCCACAAGAGCTATAAAAAAACCCTTAAGGTGGTGAATATAAAAGTGATCAATTTATTTCCGCTTGAACTTAAATTACTCTGATAATTATGGAAATCTACTTAAGCTATTAGCCTAGATGTAATGCAAGATTATCTCAAGCACCTATCCTTTGGCATTAGAAAGAAATAATATTATGATGGGGATTTTCTTCATTTACTTGACAGAAACCTTTATTAAAAGCAACGTACGAGGACAGCTCTACAAAGGGTGTGATTGTCTAATTAACATCAATACATTGCAATAATTAAAGTTTAATTATTTCAATTGCGCTTTAAAAGGTGATTACAGGAAGGTATTACACAAGGAAATGAAGCAGTAAATTAAGAATATGATACTGTATAGTCAAACAGTCCTGTGAAGAAGGACTGTGACTCAGAGGCACACATGTTTTAAGGAGGCACCAGAAAGTGGTTCTGACACCACCTTATATGCAGGAAATGAAGGACGGAGACATGGATTGAGGGGAAGTTATGACTAGTCAGCCACCACAGGAGAAAGGAAGAGCATGGACGAAAGGATACAAGGAAAGACAAGAGACTGGAGATGAGAACAAGCAGAGGAGGGGTGACAGCAGTACTGTATGTCAGGCTGGGGATTTTTATGAACAGAAGTTGCAAGCCAACAGAGAGATTGGCTTGGGGTTTTACTTATGCTGCTCATTGAATGCTCATTTGATTTGACTATCAAAATAATGCTTATGTGGGAAAAAACCCTCAACAGTATACGATTGTAATTTGTAGTTCCCTTATTATGATTTTATCAAATCACTTGAAAACCTGAATAGAAAACCTTTGGTGTATCCTGTAATCCACACACCGGGAAGAGACTTCAAGACTTCCATTGTAAAGGATTATACAGGCAGTATCTGCAGTATATAGTCTTTTCCTGCATGCTGTAAAAACTAACATGGGGATATTGTGCTATTCAATGTTTTTTGAGGGCTGTCAGTGTTTAGGTTTGTCAAGATACAAGACATTATTTAAGAATTGAAGAAAAAGTTTGATATACAGTCATTACCATGTTGAAGGCTGATAGCAAACCCTGGTGGAGAGGAATGAGCCAGGCCATTACTGATGATGTAAAAAACCTCCAAGACCCAAATTAAAATATAATTAATAACAGCAGACGTAAAAGATCAACAGTGAACGTCTGATTATTTGATTGAGAAAATACATATCAAAGAACTGAAAAGAGGGTCTGCCTTCTTCACAGAATCGGTTCTAGAATAATTTACCAGGCTTGTTCTCCTTAAATCAAACACAAAGGCAATTGAAAGGCAGTAAACCAGCCAAAAATGGATGCTAGGGGTTGCATGTGTCAACTCTGGGATGTGAATTCATGATTTGTTTGTGGAAACAATGAACAGTTCAGTACACCAGATAAAAGAGATGCTGAATCTCTCTGTCTCTCAAAGTATGTTTTTCAATATATAAATAAATAATGTACTATGTCTATATATATATAATACATTATATTTATTTAGGTTAAACGTTTAGGTTTAGGTTAGGTTTTTACAAAATGTTATAGGATTGTCTAAAGTGAGTACTAGCGTAAAACATAACTTAAAGTTAGAAAGTAATTGCAGAATGCATTTGAATAATTTCATATGTCTTTATGCTTCTTGATCAATGTATTTTTCAGACTACTGTAGATGCACTCCTAGGACGACAAGTCAATCCGTATAACACCTGCAATACGACTACTGCTACTACTAATACAGCTACTGTACTACTGCTAATAATAATACCGAAATTAAAACGAATTCCTTTTTTAAATGTAGCGTATTTAATTTAAAAAGCTTGGAGGTGAAAGGGTTAAAGTAATGGTCAATGGGTTTACGGCCAGAGCCCATACTGTATATATAGGGACCGCTCAAATGAACGCAGCACACAGCAGCACACGAGCACAAGGACCGCTGATGATTAAGGTGGGCAGGAAAGCACATCCGCGAATGGGTTAGCTTGAAAGTACAATAGTCAGACGTTAGCATATGAGGGAGGAAAGAATCACGGATGAGAGAATGGGTGGCACGGATATTGGGATTACAGAAGGGAAAGAATAACTGCAATCGATCTGACAAAAAGAAAAAAGAAAAACGGTTTTTGAAGGACAACTACACTGCGTTTTAGTGTGTTAACATCTTAAGTTTTGAATACAAAGAAGTGAAAACCTAATGTGCAAAATGAATGATGCAAAGCAAAATGGGTTGTTGTTGTGACCCTTAAGCAGCTAGGCAAACTAAGTATAATACTTGGATGCTGTCCAGAGAGAGGCGGACCGTTAAGCAAACTGATTAAAACAATGAATGGACGGACTGGAGATAAGCGATGAATGGAAAAAAAAATGAATAAGCTTCGGAGAATTCAATGGTTACAGCACGCTAGAAAGCAAACCGTTTTTATTTCGGCTCTTGCAGAAGGAAAAGTACAAAACAATGACACACGCTGCCAGGCATTTCTAAGAAAAGGGGAAGAAAAAAAAGCACCAAAGGAAGAAAGTTTATATGGCGCATTTGAAGAGTTTTAACTCTGCAGAACAAAACGTATCCGAACAGTTTTATATATTAAATTTTCCGGTGGTTTTTACTTGTCGAATAGCATGTACAAACTGATGAAGTTGTGTTGCTTCAATGAAACTGTACTCATTCTAATATATTTATACGACAGATATATGCAATGAATGTACAGTAACTGTGGAGGCAACAGCACAGGAAATCAGTTGTTAAATCAACAAGGAGTTAAAAGATTTTGAATCTAAGCCAAAACTTATTTAAATATGTAATAGAGCAAGTTACTGTAATGCTTTAAACTCAGACGTAAACTAGAAAAAGTGCATCCATTGGCTAGTTAAATCAGGACACCTGTTGACAAAACCAGAGAATGCTTTTAACTGTATGTTTTAGGATTTTTTTAACGTTTTTTTTTTTCAATTTGCTAGGGGGTAAATGGTAACGTGACAGTATGGTTATTATGATCATCGAAATCATCATCCTGTGTAACACAAAGTGTTGAGAATACTCTCATAGACTGAACCAGCGTACGGGACACTGAATGTCGCCAGAATTAACTGCCCGGTGCCTACAAGGATGAGGAGAGGATGGATGGGGGAAGTCACCCTCTAATGAAAAACCTTTCATGGGGAGGTGAGGACGCGAACGAGCTCCGGTTTCCTTGGGTAGTCACTTTGCTTGCCACCGTCCTCATCACCACTATCGTGGTCGATATTTTAGGCAACCTGTTGGTGATCATCTCCGTCTTCAGAAACAAGAAACTCAGGAAAGCAGGTAATTTTTTTTTTCATTTGTTGAGCTATGAAATATTTCCACCTTTACCTTTACGTTTACTGTATCGACTGCCGGAGACATGCAGACCATTAAGTCAACAGTGTATGTAGATGTGCTTGTAAACAATTTCAATTCTTCCATATTTTAAAAATACTGTTCATATGTTTATGTTTATTTTTTTACTTATTTTGGGAGACAGAAGGGTAAATTTTTGACAGCAGTGTTAAACCCATCAATTAGTTTATTGTGACTGTCCATTTCTGAGAGCATCTTCTAGCGATACTAAATGAAGACTATCGGAATGACATTTTGAGACCATGCAGTTGTTTGTGCGATGAGATTCATTTCTTTTTCGTGTTTTCTGCCATGCTGTCAAATTAGACTGCGTGATGCCTTAAAGCAAGAGAACTGTCAGTGAGACTGCCTTTGCTTAAAACTGATGCGTAGATCGGACAGACTCTTTTCAAAAGAAAAATGTCTTTCTGTGATGATTGGAATTAAGAGATTCTCGTGTTTGCGAATAGTTTTTGCTCGTTTAAGGAATGTAACATTTTTACTTAGAATCTATTGATTTCTTGATACATTTCCTCAGTTTGACATGACAGTTAATGACACGATACTTACCCTTTTGCTTGCAAGCTCCCATGTTTAGAATGCAATTCATATATATTTTTTTCTGAGTAAAGAAAATAACAGAGAACAGTGCAACGCAGAATAATTGCTTGATTCATTTCAAGGCCAATTATATAATATTATATATTAATCCAAAAAGTTGGTATAATGCAAAGATTACTAAATAAAATTATAAAAGACTCTAGTATATTACACATAGTTACACAACATATAATCATAGCTTTTTCAATGTTTTTGTCTTAATTATCCAAAATGTAAATATAATTGAAGTATCTATAATTTAAAAGGTCACCCCAAATGAACCAGGAATGAACGGGTATTGTATGCTAGAGCCTCAATGCCGTTCTAAATTAATCCAGAATAAATTCAATATTCCTAATTGATGTCTCCAAAAAATGGGCTCTCAGCTTCTACACCATTCTGCCATGATACGTCAAACTACTATGAAAAGTACTGTTGGTTAAAGACAGTATACAGTAGCTGTCACAGCCGTTTGTCCACTCTTTGATTGAGAGATTTCGATTTGACGACGTGCAGCAGGAGTTTGGCTTTATGCTTCCTTAGAAGGACAGAGCTCGAGGAAGTTCAGTCACTTCACATGTTGCCATGAAGTGAGCTGCCAGAAAGGCTGAAGATTGAAACAGATTAGACCCACTGGACTGCCTGGCATTTATGAGAAAGCAAAGGTGACAAATACCACACTTCTCCAACACTTTGGTTTATATAGAGATAAAGAAGGAAAGGAACTGCAACACACCTTTTTGCAAGTTCTGTTAATCTGCTGTTTGAAACCTCACAGTTCCTGATTGAAATATTAAATTGCTGTGAGATGCTTTACAATACAAATCTTAATCATTCTGTCCCTGATTTATTCTCTTAATATATGTGTGCTGAGCAGCAAAAAACACATCACTCTAATAATACTTGTGTCTTTTTAGAAAAACGAAATCATGTAGTGCTTGGATATTGATTAAAAGTTTTTGGTGTCATTTTGATTAATTGATCACTCATGAAAGACTGTAATACAGTACACTCAAGTGACATTGACCATTGCGGAAAGACTAATCACCTCATTGGTGCTAAGGTGATTACACTTGAAAATCAAGAAAGACAGAAAAACAGAAAGGAATCAATATACTGTACAGTACGCTCCTGAACAAGGTAGCAATTGCTATGTTGGAGCTACACCTTAGGTGGACTCATCAGGAGAGGATCTTCAACAGAGAGATCACCAGCAGTGATCTTTAGGGATGAATAAAGTTTCTGTGTGGTGAGATTCCAGTGTGATTGATTGGACAAGATGTTTGGACTTAACAGCACTCCACTGTGATTTATGTGATTTATAGCACATCCAAGTGATTTATAGCACATTGGCAGCATGGGGGCTACTGTACACTGATCAGGTTTTCTTGTAAAAGGAGATTGTGACAGTTCAGCTGTAGATGTCCTATTGTACATTCCAGATTTTGGCCCTGTTGATCATCTGTGGGAAGATGAGAGATCTCTGTGCCATCTAGGGCAGAGAGATCAGAGAACACTCACATGGTTGCCTAGGTATTATGAGAGAAATGGGACAGAATTTCACAAGACAATATCTGCATTTAAAGGTCAACTTACAGATGAACAGCTTGTATTGCTTCTAGCAGTGCTTCTATGCTACTAGCCTGTGACTGTATTGGACCCCCAATAGATTAATCTTTTTAATGACTTGTTAATTACTATGTCATGTCCATTCCACAGAATGTCAGGGCACTCATTACCAATTTTGGAATTTTCCTGAAAACAACTGTGAATTTATTGCAGTTATACATGATAGGTTTTGATTGATGCTCAGTATATTTTCTAGAAGAAAATTAGCAGTCATCTGATTAGTAAAGGAAAGATAAAATAGTTTAAATTGAACTGAATATCAGTGCTTTTTTATTTTGTTGTTGTGAGAAGTTACACAACACTATGAACTTGTCCGTTATTACCCTGAAAAAGCACCTAACCATGTGAATTTAAATTTCATTCAAAGCACACTTTAGTTCTTTTTTAGTGTAGTCTGTTTGACTTGAATATTCAAATTTAAACATTTAGATTAGATATTATATTTTAATGTAATATGTTTACATCAGGCTATGCTCAAACTAGCTCTTTCTTGAATTGTACTTTAAAGTAGTTGATCTGCACTATCAAGAAATAGAAGAAGATCAGACTTTGTTCAATTCCCAGCTAAAAACCTTTGAAGTTTAGCTGTAGCAGTGGTAGGCAACTCTAGTGCTCACATGCTGCATTCTGCTTTTCATTCTATCTCAGATTTTAATGACTTAAATGAATTAAGTAAGTGGATAAGCAGCCAATCAGGTGCTATTTAAAGGCACCCCTAAAACCCGAAGGAACCCCTCACTGGAGGACATGAGTAATTTAACTCTTTTGTGTTGTATAACTGGAAATACCAACATCTCTTTGCAGGTTTAGAGTTCCATGAAAAGCAACTGACATGTTGACGTTAAATAAAAGCAAACAAAATAACAGCAAAAGAGATAGTTGCCTATTTTTGTCAGCATTTCATTGCTGCCATGTATATTCTTCTATTGAATAGTCTTCCATGCAGGAGAGAGATTTTCTTGTTCCCTTTCTGCTGTCTTTTTGTAATACAAAATATTGTTACGTGCCAGTAACAAACCCAGCAAACAAAATGATTGTAGTGAATAATAATAAAACAACTAAATGAATACATCCTTCACCTAATAATGTGCCATGGTAATCTCCAAAAGTAAAGTTAAAAATAAATAAAAATCAAAATTATGTTTTGGTTACAAGATTATATTTCACTGGTCTGTTGATATACAATAGGATGATAATAGGGACAGTTGCTGGAAGAGTTTAGGTTAGACTTGACAGTAAACAGGGAAATATATATTTTACATCACTTTTACAGTAAATGTAACTATTAAATAAAAAATTTAGGAGAAAATTATAAGACAGTTTACACAGTTACACAACAGATTTAGAAAGACTGAGATAGTTGTTGTTGAGCTTTTACCTTTCCCCCTCAAAATAATACAAATCACCCTCCTTTTATGTGCTGTAGCCCTTTAAAGGTACAGTATTAGTTCCTAGAAAGATAACTGAAATGTGGTTCTTTTAAAGAATAATATCCTTGACCTTTGAAGAGCTCCAAACTGTAGTAAAGGAGCTCTTTCAAGAGCTTTTCAAATTAATAAATCTTTTTTTCTCTCTTAATTTGGAAAGATGTGAGCAAAGACGAACTTCAAAGGACATTCAAAGAAGACAAATTTCTCTTAGGATTAGTCTTCACTGGTTCGGCTGATAAAGGGTAAACAAAATGAATAGCGTCATGAGAAATTACAGAGCTTAATTTAAAATCGCATGAAGCACTATACCGTAAAATTGAAAAGCCATCAACCTTATGGGTAAATCGAGCTGTACTGTGCCAGTTTTTGTTAAAATGAACTGTACATGTGCTGATTTGAATTGGTAAATGTTTAGGACCTAGGCTGAAAAGGAATTTGTATTTAGTGTGGCTATTAGGTTACTTAAATTCTGTCAGTAGTGTCATTCAGCTATGTGTTTGAAAATGTTTTGAACTGCAAACATAAGACCTCTACTGCCTTGTCAGTGGTAATTAGTTCATTCTGAATGACATTCTGTCAACAATACTCATGTCATCTTCTGAAACGCTTAAGCACTAGTAGCACGAAAAGGCTTTAGATTTTTTTTGCCCCACCTTCTCTAAAACTTCCTTCTATCAAGCAGTGTACGAGTTATTGTAATGAAATCTAAATATATAAGTGTAAAATTACAGGTTGTACAATGTATTGTGAAACCATAGAGACAAGAACATATTCTGAAGCAGGGAAAATGCATTGGAGAAGGGGAGAAAAAATCTATTTTTACTGTCTACTTTGACTTGAACTATGGTAATCCTTGTTCTAATTTCTACAGTTCACACATACTGTACAATACTATTCAAAAGTTTGAAAAAAATGAATAACATTGTTTATTATTATTCAGTTTATATCCTAGGTTACTAATATAATTGTATCTCTGAAAAAATGTCTCATTTAATAAAAGTATAATAAATGAGAGATTGAGGGAATGCCCTGTGACTGATATACTTTGTGCTGAATGATAATGTATTGTTAAGATATATATATTTGAATCAGGTGAGAGATCTTAAAAAAACCTAATGTGCTTTTAAAGAAGCAACACATTTGTGATGCCGTTCCCTTCAGCTCATGTATCTGGCAAATAGACAATTTATCTAGTTGTACAGGTTTACCCATAAAATAAAGACTTTTGGCCTGCCATCACACTCACATCACACTCACACTGCCGGAAGATGGATGTAAAGATTACTGAACGTGTAGGATCATTAAAAAAATCGCAAACAAGAGGGAGGCCATTCGAGCTAATTTAGTAGCTAACTAAATCTAAATTCCATCCAGCTGTTTCTTAAAAGAGCCTGGAGTTCATACTTCCACCACCTGTTCTTAATACCCACAACACTTTTGGTAAAGTTTCAGCACTGTAAAACCTGACTATAACTTCACTTGATTTAAATTTCACACTTTTTGCTGTATACCCAAGCATTATGTTGGCTTCTTATTGCCTCCCCACATAGTCTTGATGAGCACATAAAAGATAGAGATAGATATATAAGACTTTATTGATCCTGAAGGGAAACTGAAAGCTCTAAGATCTGCAGAAATGTCCACATCCCTTTTATGCATAGTTTCTTGCAGCTCAGAATCATCCATACAATGTGCATAATCTATATTCCTACTTCCTGTTTGGATCTGTTTGCATGTATCAGTATTGAAATATACAAATCAATATACTAACAAAAATGTTAATTAGTTTTCTAGCTATAACAGTAACTAAATCATCGATATTGATCAAGAAAAGCAACAAACCAAAAACAGATCCCCCTGGCACACGGCCGCTCACTTCTACCTAATTAGTGTCTGTACCCATTGTTGGAAACTGGAACATAAACCATCTTGGCTCAATGCAAGTATTGAAGTGTGATTCTAAATGTAGGACCTTAAGGAACTAAATAGTGTTCCTGCGCTCATGAATAATACACTTTCAGCATGAATTAGAATGATAAGCAATATCTACAGGAAGTAATGAAACAAATGTATTGGGATCAACATTTCACTTTTCCAAACATTTAGTGTAGAGCTGATCATTGACAAGATCCAGTAATGTGTGAATAGAAGATGAAAGCAAATTGCATCAGACTGTGCAGAAACCTATGGCATATGAAAAGGTAAATATGTATGAAGAATATTACATTAAAAATGTAAGTTTGTCTTATATAAATCTTTTTGTAAAATTGTGTAGCGAGAGGTCTATGTAGCACCAGAGAATAATATATCTAAAGCCTTGAATTTTCTTAATCTTGAATTTGATTCGTTTTTGGCAGTAGCATACATGCAATGTGAAAATGGGGCAACATGATTGCTGCTGACAAGAACAATGGTCTTTATGTGATGTTTATGTAAAAAGGTTTTTTTTTTAACTGTTTGTTTATATATTTTTTGTTTTTTATAACTCATAACTCGAGATAAGTCATTGCAAGACTGCAGGGCACACAGAAATCCACTGAGATACCAAACAACAGAAAGAAGTTACGACCAGTGCCAAATTACAAGACTGATTCATTAAACCAGCTGACAGGAGCTAAACAGCTGAATACAAAAGTATAGGACTGGGGGGTTTGACTAGGACATGGACAGTATGTGGAGTTTTGGACAACAAAAACCTGTTTTTGTTGTTGTTATTCCTTAATAAGAGCAATTTTACAAGATAAATGTCAGACGTTGATGGCATTTTCTAGAACATGTTGTTTTGTAAGTCCTGTAAAAAGCAGTTCTATTTAAATCTGCAATTTAAAAATAAAGGAATTATTCAGGAGTGCCCAGAATGTACAGTGAGTGATAGGAACATCTCAGGTTAAATCCAATCTTCCTAGTTCCAGGGACTAAATTAATAAACTACAATGAATCACTGAATGCTTTTATTAGAAACTCAGTTTTGTTATGCCTGGATCTTATTTACTAATTTCTTGCACTCTAGCCAAAGAATGGAATACGGAACATCTGCAGTGTATTGAATAGTTGTGCAATGAACACATTTTGGTGTGGATGTTTCTTTGCAGTTTCTGCTGAAATGTAACTTCTTTCACCCGTGTTTCACACATGTCCTACGTGAGCATTAAAGGCTGGATTAAGAATATTCACTTGAAAATGTATGTACAGTACATTATATATAATTCAACAAAATGGGATATCATTGGAATGGGGTGAATACTTTTGCAAGGAACTGAACTTACATTATAGACTCACTGACTAGAGCATAGCCAAAGAGGTCCAATACATTTGTAAAGCTTAAGAAGAATTAATAGTTATTTTATTGTATTTAAAGGATGTCCACTTGAAGCCTAGAATACCTCAGATTGTTTCTATGATTTTATATACATATTCTATACATGTAAATTGATAAAAATCTTTCTGATATAATGACAATTGCCACACTTGTCCTTAATAAAATTAAAAAGCAACATTATTAGATTCCCTCTAGTGAACCCTTAGGTGTTGCAGGGAGATGAGTGAGAATGATTAAATGATTACATTTCCTTCAAATCAGGCTCTGGATAAATCCTTAATAATGAATGATTTAATGATTGCTGCAAATTTGCACTGACTTTGCAAGCTGTATTTGTCTGGCTGTCATTCATAATAGCAATCCTGACATGCTCAATGTAGCTCATTTCAGACACAAAACTTTTTAAGTTATGTCTGAGTAAATGTGCCTTCAACAAGTAAGTAGCTCTGATATTCATGCAGCATGCAAACACATATGCTCATTTAACATGTCCAGATGTATTTTAGGAAATGCAATCTGGCATTTGATGTCATTGTGAATATGTAGAACCTTTGCAGCAAAACATGTTTTAAGAGAATACACAAATACAGAAGTTCAGTGTGCAGTCATGACTCTGTCAATCAGTCTTTGAACTCTTTCAGTTTATGACTGTTGGAGCTTTACTGTAGGTGTTGACCATGCTGTTCCCTTCACTGTTTAGTTTTTACCTTGTGAATATCTCTTCCAAGCAGAATAAAAATGCCTTCAGATAAAAAAAAACAGCATTTATAGATTTAGAATTTGGAAATGGAATATTAGCTCAAGACAGGGAAGTCCCATAAACATAAATAGTTTCGGCATCTGAATGTAGTTGTGTTACTTACAAGACTGATGTTTTCCCTCATGGCTTCCATACAGCTGTAACCCAATTCAGATTAATCATTTAAAAAGACAGTGTTGTCCTTTTTGTTACAAGACTGCAGAGAATCCTTAATGGAAGTTTTAGAAGTTCTTAAAAACACACTTGTTCACTTGTTCATGATGTTGCAAAAGACTGGTTACATTTTATTGTAAAAATACAATTCTACCTTTTAACATTGAAATCACTCAAGTGAGGGACAGGTCAAAGCACAATTATTAGGAAACACAGGTCATGCTCAGTTATAAAGCTTTTCTATGTGTGGAATTCTGAATAGAAAGAAGCTGGTTGCTTCCTCTTCATTGCCCTTCTGAAACATCATGTTAAATGCAGTGCCTTTCCTTACTGTAGCATGATATACCGTATAGCCATTGAGAGAAGTCTACTGTGTTTTTGAGGATAATCAGAAATTTCTACATTTGTGTCTGATAATATTTTGATTATATTCATGTGTGTATATAAATGTATGTCTGGGTGTACATATGTAATTCCAGAGATCACTATTTTACAAAGAGTTCACAGACTTTTCTCCACGACTACATAATGCAGCTCCGTCTAGCATCCTCTGTGCTTTTAATCTCCCCTTTCCCTCTTGATTAAACGTGTAGATCAAAGGTAAAATAAAGCACAAAGAGATTAACCATATGCTTCGGAAAATTCAAGTGGTTTGGATTCCTGCCCAAGCACTGATGTCAGACATGTCTTGGGTTTCTTCGTGAGCAACGAAGAGTGCAGGATCCCCTAATGTTTCTTGATTTTCTTTACAGGAAATGCCTTTGTTGTTAGCCTGGCTGTAGCAGACCTCGTGGTGGCCATCTACCCCTACCCGCTGGTTCTGACGGCTATCTTCCATGACGGTTGGAGCCTGGGCTACATTCACTGCCAGATCAGCGGCTTCCTCATGGGACTGAGCGTGATTGGATCCATTTTCAACATTACGGGCATTGCCATCAATCGCTACTGCTATATCTGCCACAGCCTTAAGTATGACAAGCTCTTCTCCAACAAGAACACCATCTGCTACGTCATCCTCGTGTGGGTCCTCACTATTCTTGCCATTGTCCCAAACTGGTTTGTGGAGTCCCTGCAATATGACCCTCGGGTGTATTCCTGCACTTTTGCGCAGTCGGTCAGCTCCTTCTACACCATCACAGTAGTGGTTGTCCATTTCATCCTCCCCATCAGCATTGTGACTTACTGCTACCTCCGGATATGGATCCTTGTTATTCAAGTCCGCAGAAGAGTCAAGCCCGACAACAGGCCCAAAATCAAGCCGCACGACTTTCGTAACTTCCTCACCATGTTTGTGGTGTTCGTACTTTTTGCTGTGTGCTGGGCCCCATTGAACTTCATTGGGCTTGCAGTGGCTGTGAACCCCAGTCTAGGCCTTGCCATTCCCGAATGGCTGTTCACTGCTAGCTACTTCATGGCCTACTTCAACAGCTGCTTGAATGCTGTGGTTTATGGGGTTCTAAACCATAATTTTAGAAAGGAATACAGACGGATTGTACTAGCTATTTTTAGACTGCCTTGTTGAAAGAAAGAGCTTAACCAGGACACTGTGACAAAGAAAGCATTGTGCTAAATATAAACCACAGATGTAAGGCAATCAGAGCTCAGAAAGAGCAAGCCAGATCATGTAATAAATACAATGAATGTATATAAGAATGCGGTATTGATGTCTTCATCGGGTATATACAATTGTCTCTTGTTTGTGTTGGCTGTTGGTGTAAAGTATATCAATGTATTATGGAAAAAGAACAAGATTTTATTTTTGGAACTGGTCACTGAGAGTTTGAAAAGTGAAGTCTTGAAGTATTTATTAAAGCTACAGTCTCATGTTAAATTTTGCATATAAACACGGTTTATCGGTGCTGTTTTACAATCATTAACCACTTTGTAGTAGCTTGAATTGCAGTGTGTGAAAATAAACTGCCTGTGTGACTATTTATAACCTAATTTCCAAAGAAACAGCACACAACAGTACACCACACAGAGTGGTATGAATGTCTTCTGCATTTGGCAACACAATATATTTTAGGTTGTAGATCATACATAAGATACATTATTTCCACTCTCATCTACTCCATTAATATGAAAATGATGCTAATTTTCTCTTGGCATCGCCTGTACAGTATATTTTTTATACTTCAGAAAAGATTTGATAAATCCAAAGACAGTTTAAAAGCTCAAAAGGACCGCAGCTCTAAAATTAGCTTCAAACGTCTGCACGTTATTGCTCATTTTCAAATATAATGGCCTTCATTGCTAGCTAAAGGATCTTAAAAAACCTAAAATGCTCCCCCCTCCTAAGTTAGTGAAGTTTAAGGGCAGATAATGGGGATTCTGATGTGATTAACTTTTCTTTTGAAAGCTAAATCCCTTCAAAATCTTTATCTTACCACTCTGCAACACATGCTTGGGCCACGTTTCTGCATACTCCTGGGTTAACATTTCATATACAGGGAGACAGAACAGAGAAACACGATATAAGAGGGATATAATTCATTTCCGATTTACGGCTTAGCACCTCAGATTTGTAAGGGTAAAGCCATACATACTCTAAGCTCTTTATGGAATTAATGCATTAGATTTAGCATAGTAAATTGCAGGCACCCACCTCCCCGTACTACACATGTGTTTCTAAGGCAAATCAAATTCAGTGATGATTTGAAACGAAAAAAAAGCTGAATGCTACAAATCACAACCGTGAGAGTAAATACATTTAATTAAATAAATGAGAACTATAAACACCTAACTTTAATAACTAGAATGAAAAACTATAATGGACTTAAAAGTCTTCAAAAGACGTAACTGAGTTCTGCTGTTTTCTCCTGGGTGCAGGCTCTGTCAGTATACAAAGTATACCGTATGAGTAATGGGGGCTGCTTCACTAAATTAATTAGTTGTGCTTCATAGCAGTTCAATCAAAAGAACATTCCTTACAGGATTATTTTGTGGGAGGCTTGCTTCCATCAATATTGCCTCTAGAGCACTTGACTAAAAAGCAACTGCACACCTTGTTGAAGTACATCAAAAGTGAGAAGGGCTATAAATCTCTCTAATATGAGCTACATGTTTAACGGACTGTTCTGTTGTTATAGATTCGAAAGTATATTATATAAAAGTAAATTACTAAAATAATTAAAGTAATTTATATCTATATATTATTTTTTCGAACCTGCAGTATAGCACACTTTACCTAAATAAAATATTGTTACAGATATGATGGGGGAATTATTCATATAATATGCAGACATAGTAATGTACTTTTTCCCACAAGAACAATTGCACTCGCTAATATACATTATGTATGAAGACACTATACAGTATATGGTACTGAACATCAAATATATTTTGTATGTGAGTTTTTTGTCTTATAAAGGAGCACACATGGATTAAGTCATAATAAAGAATGTCCACTGTGAATAACAATAAAGTTGTATTTTTGTCTGTAAAATTTGTGGTTATACATACCCTCTTACCAAAAGGGAATACTGTACTTATGTAAATTCTTTCTCACTGGTTAGTAATATATTCATGCAGCCGTCTATATATAGTTGAATAAATAAGCAGCACAATTATTATTGCCTTTCCACTACCAAAACCACAAAGAGGCACTCAATCAAATTATAATAGCTACTGTATATAAAGTATAACCAATATACAGTGTATAGCCAATATAAAATATCAGACCCTTTGGACTTACATTCCTTTTTCTTTTGCATGGTTTGTGAAGTGTATGTTCATTTTAATAGTGCATGCATGTAAAATCATGCAGACACTAAAACACTCCAACATATATACTAATTATTAGGTCTGTAATTATGCAAAACCCAAATCTGTCCAGACATGATTTTCATACTGCATGGAAATACCATAAACTACTGAACGGTTTATTATTATTATTAGCCTATTAAGCTACTCACCAAAACAAATTCCAAATTACTTCTCTGCAAGTAAACACAGGTAAATGACACCTGAGCCTCTTATGTGTAGTTGCCTGGTTTAATAAAAGGGGAATCAGCTGGATTAAAGGAGGCTTCTTGAAGGTCTAACATACTCTGAATATGAAAAGAAACATCCCTTTATTTTTGCCTGTCCATTCATCCATTTTTAACCACTTTAACGACACAGCAGCAGGGCCAGAGCCTATGCAAGGCAAGATACGGCCTGAACAAGACGCCAGTCCATCGCAGACACAGACACACCAGCGCCAAGTTTCGCAGAGCCCAATTAACCAATTATGGGAGGACAAAGAAGCACCCAAAGGAAACCCACACAAAAACTGGGAGAACATCCAAACTCCAAGCAGGAGGCACCCCAGGTCCAGAACTGAATCCAGGACCCCAGCACTGCAAGGCCACTGCATCACCATCACACACTATTAATGTGTGTATGGCTTATAGTGCGAAAATAAAGCATGTGGATATAGGTAATGATAAAGTTACTTTGAGTAATTTAAATTACTTTATTAGTGAGAGGGTTCATTGGACACGAGTGATACGGTTATTTTACATGTCTGGAGTCAAGCCCAGTAAAAATCAAGAAAGAAAAGTCTGAACTAAATCAGCACACTGCCATTTGTGGTCTGGGGTGTTGACAGACAGAGGTTTCTAATCGGGAAAGATGTTATTACAGCCAACAAAGCCCATCATTGATAGACTACAGTTGATCATCGTGCTCCACCTTTGTGATCACTTTTCCACTGCATCCGAAATGCCAAGCTGCAACAGATGACTGATGACAACCTGACTGCACAACGTTACATTGATGAGCTCCTGGGATCTCCTGTGGGTTCAACCTGATGTGACAACATTCCAGCAGAACACATGTCCTCATGCTGCTCACTTAACAGGAACTTTCTTGTGAGATGAGACCGTGACTGTTATGAGATGGACTGGAACAATGCGACTGCCCAGGGACAGAATTCCACAACACATCAACGTGACGCAAAGCGTGCGTTGGAGACATACAGCTTGTACTGTTTCCAATAGCGCGAAGGCACACACATAGGTTTTTATCTTTCACAATAGGCCCCTTCTTGATCAACGATGTTGATGGCAAAAGGTCTGCGTAACTAACTGCCATGTCTGTTAAGAAAAATATATCTCTACAAATAAAGATCTTGTAATTTTCCTGAACAAACTTTGTGAATTTGTTATAGTTACAAGTGAAAAGTTATTTTTATACTCAGTTTAAAGCCAGGTTTTCCAGGTGTCTTGAAATCAATTATTTTAAGTAAATTATGTATTAGTAATGTGACCTACATTTCACGTTCCTTCCAATAATGTGACGATTAATATAATTGTGATAACTGATGATGGAAACAAACATGAACTATAACACTTCATATTTCATAATGATTGGTAAATCAGAGAACTAAATGCTGTATGATATACCTTAAGCAAGAATAAACTATTCTTATCAAGTTAATTTTGAAACATTGTAAATAAATTATTATAAATTTAAGGTGAGTAAAACAGGAGACTCCGACCCTGGCCCTGAAGAGGCCCAATCTTGTTAGTCTGGTCTCTTTCTAAAACCTGCTAATTTCTGGAACTACTGATAAACAAAGCAGGTCATCTGTTCAATTCAGAGAACTAAAGTCCTTGATGGCTGAAAATACCTGCATTTCAATCCTAAATAATTTCTAAATAACTATTTTAAATGATCTTAATTAAATATCTAAATTATTTAAATTTTTAACCTGTTTATTTGACCACAGTGATATTGTTCCATATCTTTAGAAAATGGTAACTAAACCTGCTGGACTGGAGCTCTCCAGAAACAAGGGTAGGAGACCCCTGTAAAAGATGCTCTAGAAGATATTTTCAGTCCACATTTGCACAATTTGTAAAGTCACACTGCATTAGACCTGTTGAGAATGTTGGTTGGTGCCACCCATCCATTTTCTTACAGTCTTTGTAGTTGGATAATTTCTAAAATTCTTGCACTGTTCAGTGTTTCAGTTTAAAAACCTAGTTAAAGTGTAATATATACAAGACAAAAAACAGTAAACACATAAAAAGGACAATGCAAATGCGTATTTACTAATTTAATCAAATTTATCACCTTGCAAAAACCTCAGCGAATATTTACTGGTAAAGTTTGAAACTGACTTCTAGTCCTTCTAAATATAGTATTGAGGGCTCCAAGAAACCAGTGCAAAAGCTTGCTATTTAAGTCTTGTTGAAAATGGGTAGATGATTTAGACACATCACCAGCAGATCTAAACTGCCTGGGGCACAACTGTCATTTATCATAAGCCAAGCAAAGCAAGATACGCTTCACCATATTAGAAAGCAAACCTGTGATGTGCCGCACTGTGCGGTCACAGAAACAGTTACTAAAGCCCTTGGAAATGAGGCAAGCTTCTGGAAACAGCCATATCAATAAGCAACAAGGAAATAATCTAGATTTGCCAGGGTTACCTGGTGGCCCCAATCCTTAAACTTCATGGTCAGTCAGCAGTAAATTTTAAGACCCTGTCTTAGATAACACAGATAATTGTACAGTAGAAGTGAGATGGAGCCTCATATTTAGTTCAAGATAAATACTGACCCAACCTGCTCTGACCCTACGTCTTCCAAAAGCATTTCGAGAAGCAAATGGTGAGCCAATGTCCCTGTTGACTTGAGAGAGATAAAAGCATTGTAATTGGGATGAGCACTGTACATTTGCTTCTTGCACTTGTCAAGTTCTATTTGTGTCACCCAAGATGCAGATGATACTGATGGGATGCCAGCTGAAGTGAAGGAAATCATGTGAGGCCGCCCTGATCTGTGAATTAGAGTGCAGATTCTTACATGGGAAGTGTAAATTGATGCTATCTGTCCCGGAGGGCTACAAAAAACATTTTCCAATAGTCCATGACATTAAAACAAGCACCACTGTTGAGTTTTGATGGAACTGATAGAATTCATGGACGTCGTGTGTTCACGTTCTGTGTATGATATAAAACCTCTTTCTTCATGGCTTGAAGGAAATATCAAGGATTCTGATTTTGGTTGGAAAATGGGCTTGGGCTCAGAGAATTCTATAAACCATTACCTGTGTGAAGGTCTTTAAATCAGAGTAACTGTATCTGTTTTTGTTTCTTTAGCAGCAGTAACAATCGCTTACATGTTTATAACAAGGTTGAAAAAAACATTTACAGAAATCAGAAGAGTAAATGTGATTTACTATCACATTATCACCATCAAGTGAATAAATAAAACAAACACGGTCTTCAATTGAAAAATGCTAAATTGACCACAGGAGAATCTGGCAGCGAGAGGCCCAACTTGGCTGTGTGCATTATTATTGCAACTCGATAATCAATATCTATGATCTCGTAGTCTCGTACCTCACAGCTCATGCTCGCTTGACACTCGTTGAATCGCTGACCCAGTCTTCCGGATCTCTAAGTGCTTCACAACCAACAGCCTTTTCCTTTTCCGGTTTACACAGTGTGCATCGTTGAACGCTGATATCGTAGAAACGTAGACTAATTGTTTTCACATTTTAAAAAAATTGATTCACTCGTGTCGAAAGAGTTGAAGGGCGTTAAGCGCAAAAGAATTGCCAAGTTCATTTAAGGTGGAATGGCTTGAGGAAACGGTAGAAATTGCTACTGCAGAAAGTTATAATTTGATATATGTTCCGTTGCGACAAATTGATTCAGAAATTGGCGTTATATGACTGTTTTGTCGTGATACGAAAGTTCCAGAAGAAGTTTCTAGTGGAAAATGGTGGGACGACGTTTGGAAACTTGACTTTTTAAAGCGTCATCTCACAAGCAAATCACTTGTCGCAAATCACAACTCAAGACACCTAAATCCTTCACTACCAGCTACAGGGCTGCTGCGTGACAGTCCAGATAAACAAAAACGTTCAAACCATGAGGAGATTATCAGTGTTCTGTCAGCCATTAAAATGAATAACTCTTTGCTCATTAATGAACATATGGCAAAGTATGTTAAAAATTTCTGAAAATTGGCGAAGCAATTGGCGTTTGAATTTTTGGAGACTGTCAACAGCATTGTTCAAAAAGAAATGGTAAGGAAATAGTTTCAGCAGACTTTCATACGTTATCAGTTGATGAATGCATATATATTTGTCAACAAATGCCTCATACTGTACCTTAAATTTAGGACTAAAACTTCTACTGTGTATAAAACTTATTTTGGTGGAATAGTGCAGCTGCAATTTAGTAGCTATGAGAATTACTAAATTAACAAAAAATAATTTCAGGTTTACAATTTTACATACACTCAATTTTGTGCACACATGTCACTAGGGAAAAATTGCACAACTTGAAATTTATGCCCACATAGGCCGTTACAAATTAGAGGAAACAATGTAGCAAGCTCTTATAATTTATTTCAAAAGCTTGGTTTGAAATTTAGCTTTACAATTTAAACCAGAGGTTCATTGGATATGTTCAAGCGACTTTAAATTGATTTTCTTAGATGGTAATGTGAAGTGGAAAATAGCAATCAAGAAATAAAACATGAGCTCTTTATTTTTAAGACTGTTAGAAGCTCAGGGAATATCCATATTCTTGGTAACACGTGTACCCTGCATACACATTAGCACAGTATGTTACTGTCTGAATATAGTCATCTTAAAATGGGTCTGAATTAGCAAGGATGCATCCTCAACCTCTACTGTCATCACATATTTAATCTTAAATATACAGAGTACTTGAGGACTCTTTTTACTGATCTAAATCACAATTCCCAGATCTACCAGTCTGAAGTAACACTGTGTATACAGTAACAGCACAGGATGTGACTTAGTATTGCCTTATTCCCTCTAGTTATGTTAATTAAGATATGGGTTTTCAGAGTTAGACATTTAAATAAATCTAAGGTAAATTTCAGGCACAGAAGAATCGGGCACAGAAGATACCAAGTATGAAGCTAACATTGAATAAGAACATTTTAATTATTATTAAAGGATTGTCATTCTGCTTGATTTATTCAAAGGCACTTGGAAAAGTGGACTCTGCATGCTGACTAGCCATGAAGACTTGCTTTAGACATACAGTATGTTGGAGTGGAGATTAAGCTTCTTATTGTGTTAAATCATTGCTATGGGTGCTAGCTTTGTCAGGATGATCAAAGTTAGATTATTTAATTCTGTTAGGATACAATTAATCACAAAATGGAATAGAGAAACACAAAGAATTCAAGATGGGTCTTAAATTTTTCATCCACTAAGTAGAAATGATGCATGAAATATTAAATAATTCATTTAATTTTCACATTCTACAATGAACAATGTTTTAAACATATCCATATTATAGATATGGATATAGATGTTGTAAGGATAGCTCCAGAACAATAATTAATCAATGAACTATCTGAGAAAGCCCATTTTGGCTTCTATAGCTTTATTTGAATTCTTGCCCGTTGTAAACTTCACTGAGGTCACCAGCAATGTATACTCTTGTGGTTCGCTGCTGATGTCAACATGAAAAATGAATGTTATCATTCTCAGTAAGTAACTTGCCTGTTCCCACATGGTTAATAAACTGATGTACTGTAGAGTATGTTCGGTAGCTGTGTGTTAATTTTAAATGTAACCCAACGTCCCTGTTAGATTATTCATCACATGATACTCCCTTTAAAACAGTCCAAGTGAGATGATTAAGATAAGTCTAATTTGCTAAGCCATTATACATAATTTAAACAAGTGCAGCTTGAGTGCAAACACCGATTGAGCATATTAAGAGATAAAAAACAACATTTGCATTCCTGTTGCCTTTTTGTTAGACTACAAAAAGAAATCAGAATTTCTGAAATTGCTGAGATTGAAACGCTCAGTTTATCATCAATGACTACCTTAATAGAACGTAAAATTAACACAAAGTAAATGCTCTTTATTTAAAAATGTTTCATGTTCACTGCATACACAAGAGCCCTGTATTTGTATTTATAAATAGATTTTTAAATAATACTGTATAGCACCATGAAAAACAAATTATTTCTTTTGGTAAAAGACAGCCTTGATGCTCTTAGTGTTGGTAAAAAAAAGAAACTTGTCATCACAGCACAGCTTATCACAATTCAGCTTATAAAAAAAACCTCTTTTGTTCACTATAATCTGAGTAATATAATATTTGAGATACATCACACAAACATCTGTCTAGGTTCAGTGTCCCATACCAGAATAGCAAAACCAAAAACTGAACAGCAACAGAACTTTAAATAAAAGACAATGAAATTATTGAATTCAGAGATGAAAATAACCATAATAAGAAAAGAATGTGAACTCATTAAATTGAGTAGGTGATTTGTAATATGGTTAGAGCAGATAAAAATGTGGAAAGATTAATTAGATCCCCTTAATGCATAGTTTCTGTTCCTGCAATGCATGCTCTGCCCATTTTACTATGGCTTGGAGTTTTGCCAAAAATATATACAAAGTTTTCACTGATTTTAATTCCTCGGTGTGAAAGTAAAGGTTTCTACAAGCTGAAAGTCTTGGCTTCATTCCCAAAATCCACGGCTATTTCTATTGCTGTAGTTATGGAGAACACGACACCAGGGATTTTTTTAAATTTGATTCTAGATAAGTATTCCTTATTTTTCTCAGTTGTATTAATGTATTCTTTGCATGAAGATTTGAAATCTTAGACATCATATTTTTTCTTCTGCAAAAGCTACACTCTTTGAAGTTTCCATTGTATTCTTTAACCCAGATGGAAAGGAATTCCCGGGATAGTACAGTAGAATAGGAGATTACTGTAAAGAGACAAAAAAAGAGGGCAAACCAGCGAACAGAGGAGATTAATAAAGGAATATAAATCCAAAATTCTTCATACAAATAGTCACAGAAAACTGGTCAATGCTAGTGAATGGAGAGTACCTTCACTGTAAATTTGACGGAACTTTTATGCTGCGTAAATGTCTTCTTTGAAATGAAAAGCACCGAATGGCATGCATTTTTCACAGTAGGAATGGGTCATCACAACGTATCCGCTGATCCTTAGAATTAAGAGAAAAGAAAAAAACTAATATTAAAAAATAACAGCAAATCAGGAGGAATCAAGGATTTGGATCCAGGAATATTAGCTTCATACTTTATAACAAAAAAAATATTTTTAAACACTTGTTTTAAATGGCATAGAGATGCAAGGAGTTACAGCATAGTGAAGTGCAATACAGTGAAGGTTTGAGATGAGTTTAATTTGTGACAAAAACATTTTCAGAGAACATGGAAGGTGCATCCCCTACACTGTTGCAGCACATTTTACAATCTGGAGTCAGCCTTGGTCACCTACAGTATGCTATTACCATGAACAGATGTTTATCCCCGCACTATCAAAGTATTAAACTCTCACTCTCACCTCACTTCTCACCTATGATCTGAACCTCACAGTGCCTTCTTCCTTTCTTACCAAAAACCCAAACACACATTGAAAATCTACCTCTACCATACATGTCAAAAGCTCCCTCCCCATTATTTCTATCCCTTTATTTCATTCTGTTGATGCATGTTTTTGCACATAACCTGTTACCTTTTTGCTGTTTTGCACATTGCCTGTTGTTGTTTTTTGCACACTGCCTGTTGTCTCTGTCTTTCTTTTGTTATACAATTGTACTGTTGTTGTTGCTTTATTTTCTTTGTACTACTTATGTCCGAGAGCTAGCTAAATAGCATTTCATTATACCATATACCTGTATATGAGTATAATGACAATAAACTTGAACTTGAACTTGAACTTATGAGTGACCATTACCAATTGTTTTGGAATCATAGAAGATATTTCCATTAGCTATAGGTGTTACGTACTACGGTTATTTTTGACATACATACAGCAGGTGTCTATTTCAATACACTCGAGTCAGTTCAGAAGTAATGACTCTAGGCTAGATTTCTACTGTGGGGTCTATAAGAAATGTGCAAATACTGGAATTTATATTTAAGGTGTTGTTTTTTTATAATATATTCTTGATCGATCTGGCTCGATCAGTTATTAAATTAAATCTTTTTTTAATAGCTCTGGCATGATTGGAAAAATACATTGATTATATAAACTGCATTTATTTGTGCACATTCTTTTTTTTTTTCCTCTGAGACACATGCATGGGCTTTTGGTAAGTGATACTCCATTGCTCACTTTCAATCTCACATTTTCAACATCCATCAACATTCATGAATTAAAAAGACTAATAGAAGAACATCACACCACTGGAGACCTTGAAAGTAAGGAAACCACCTGAATTTACTATAAGTACATACATCTTAATTTATGTGTGAAAGCACTGCATAACAAGGGCGTTATGTAGATGTATTCTCCAGAAATTAATTTAATACACACATGACTGATCAATAGCATCTATACCATCAGCAAAAATCTTCAAGACTGTATTGAAATATGCCCAACGGACAACAAATACACAATAGTCTGAGTAAGGTGAAGGATTACCTACTTAAAGGCTTCAAAACAACGACACATCTGTTGCAAGACAGTTCTCATTTGCAGCAGGTGTACTTCACAAACAACGTACAATGTATTCATTTATATCCATCAAGACACAAAATGAATTTAAAACACTGAAAATCAATTTTGAAAAAGTCCACTTTGATCCCTTTAGAATGCACTTCATCTAGGGACGATGTGTGGCTGGTTAAATGAAAGACAAAAGATAGTTTTGTGCTCCGTGCTCTAGTAAAAGACACAGAATCTGCTTTTTTCTTGGTCAAAAACTAAAGGATTAGTACCTTAAAGAGAAATTCTGAATTTTAAATGATAATGCTAACTGGACTTGATCATAGTTTTAATCTTTCTCTGTATGGACATACTGTATTTTAATTTCACTCTTA